AACATATTTTTATACTTTATTTGTGACACTGATTTGCGTGAGGTCCAGCGAGCGGAGCCCCAAGAAGCTCAGGGGTTTTAGGCATTACATTACCGTCAGATTAGCATCCAGTAGGGTCTAGGGGGCAGAGCCCCCGGAAGCTCGGGGGTTTAGGCATTTGATTACGGTCAGATGAACATATTTTTATACTTTATTTGTGACACTGGCAGGACACTGATTGGCGTGAGGTCCAGCGGGCGGAGCCCCCAGAAGATCAAGGGTTTTAGGCACTAAATTGTGGTCAGATGAGTATCAAGGGGCCTGCCCAAGGGCCCTTGGTTGGGTCCCGGGGACAGAGCCCCCGGAAGCTCAGGGGTTTTAGGCGTCTAATTACGGTCAGATGAGCAATTTTTTTGATACCTTATTTTGTTGTGACACTGGTAGTTAACTATTCTTTCTTTCTTGCTCTCTTTCTTTCTATTTCTCTTTAAAATGCTTTTCCAAAAAAAAAATTGGGGGGGGGGGGGGGGGAGCTGGAGGCTCCTGATCCCCGCCGTTCAGCGGGCCCTGACATGTAGGCATCTCAAGAAGCATATTTCTTGCCTGGCTGTTAATTTACAAACGCATACAAAAGTATAATTTACTAAAGAATGATGACAAATCTCGGATAATTATGTCATTTTAGCATTATTTGTAAACCACCGTTATGGAATTAGAAATAAACCACGTTTAAATTTTATTTCCCCCGAGCCCCCAACCCGATCAATACGCCAGTTTCCCCCCCCCCCCGATCTACTCTTTGTTGGCGGAAAAATCGCAACTGATCTCCCTACCTTTCTTATTTCTCTTTTTTCTTTCCCTTTCTCTCTTCTTTCCCTTTCCCTTCCCTTCCTTCTCTCTCTGTAAGATTTAATGGGGGGGGGGGGCGAGGGGTAGGTAAGGTCATTTCGGCCCCCACCCTTCTCCACATGTTGTTGGCGGGATTAACTGCAAATGATCTATTTCCCCTTCTTTTCAGCTTTTTTTCGGTCCCTTTTAGCTCTCCTTTTTTCCTTTTCCTTCTTTCTCTCTTTTTTTTAGCGGGGCAGGGGAGGCAAGGGCATTTTGCCCCATCCCCGCCCCGATCCACAACTTGTTGGCGGAAAAATTGCAACTGATACCCCCTTCTTTCTATTTCCTTCCTTCTCTCTTATTTTTTTGATTGGCGGGGGGGAGAGGGGGGAGGCGAGGCTCTTTCGCCCCCCCCCTCGATCACTTCTTCCCCTTTTCTTTTCTTCTTCCTCTTCTTTCTTTACCTTTCTCTCCTCTTTCCCTTCTTTTCCTTTTCTCTTTCTCTTTCTTTTTTTGTCCTCCTTTTTTTGTCCCTTTTTTTCCCCTTCTTTTTTTCCCCCTTCTTTTTTTTTTCTTTCTTTTTCCCCAGGGGAGGGCGCCCGGGCCCCTGCCCCCCTGGATCCGCCACTGCGGCCAGGCACTAGTGTAGGAAAACTTCAAATGTTAATCAGTTATATGATAAAATAACTTGTCTGTGGCCTCACGAAAATGTATATATTTAGTCAGGCCTAAATTGAGTTGCAAAACAATTACTGTGTTAAAAGGAAAAAACATATTTGATGACATTCGCAATACCACAATTGCCGATACAATTGGATTACTCGTTTTTGTTCTTTTTCAAAACTTACTTGCTGAGCCCCATGAAACTCAGGGATTTGAGTCATTTTATAATGACTCTCTTCTCTTTTTTCTTTGGGGGGGGGGGGACCTTATTGTGACACTGGCAGATCACCAATTGTCGTGGAGTTCAGGGGGCGAGGCCCCGGAAGCTCAAGGGTTTTAGGCATTAAATTAGATGAGTATCAAGGGGCCCGCCTTAAGGCCCTTGGTTGGGTCTAGGGGCAGAGCCCTCGGAAGCTCAGGGGTTTTAGGTGTTTAATTACGGTCAGATAAGCATTCAGGGGCCCGCCTTACGGCCCTTGGTTTGGTTCAGGGGCAGAGCCCCCGGAGGCTCAGGGGTTTTAGGTGTTTTATTACGGTCAGGTTAGCAATGTTTGATACCTTATTATTTTGTGACATTTGCAGGATACTATTTGGCTTGGGGTACAGGGGGCGAAGCCCCAAGAATTCAAGGGGTTTTAGGCATTAAATTACCGTTAGATGAGCATCTAAGGGCCGACCTTTGGGCCCTAGGTGGAATCCAGAGGGTAGAGACCCCGAAAGCTCGAGGGGTTTAGGCATTTAATCACGGTCAGATGAGCATATTTTGATACCTCATTTTTTTCTGTGACACTGGCAGTTTACTATTCTTTATTTCTTGCTCTCTTTAATATACTTTTTCAAAAAAGAGGGGGATAGCGAGGGAGCTCGAGGCTCCCGATCCCGACCGTTCCGCGGGCCCCGACATGTAGGCATCTCAATAAGCATATTTCTTGCCTGACTGTAAATTTCGGAATATGTCATTTTCCAACAAACGCAAAAAAAGTATAATTGAATAAAAAGTGAGGAACAATCTCGGAAAATGATGTCATTTTAGCAACATTTGTAAGTCACCGTTATGGAATTAGAAATAACCCCCCCCCCCCCGAACCACAACGTATTGGCAGGAAAACTGATATCCTCCTTCTTTTCTTTTCTTCTTCCTCTTTTATTTCCCTTCCCTTTATCTCCTCTTTTCCTTTTTTCCCTTCCCTTTCCTTCCTTCGCTCATATTTATTTTGATTTGGGGGGGGGGGGGGGGCGGGGAGGCAACAGCCTGGAAGGCAAGGCCATTTCGGTCCCCCCCCCAATCTCCTTCTTTCCCCTTTTCTTGTCTTCTTCCTCTTCTTTCTTTCCCTTTCTCTCCTCTTTCCCTGTCCTTCTGTCTCTCTCTCTCTCTCTCTTTATTTTTGCGGGGGGGGGGGCGCTGCCCCCTGGAACCACGCCTGTGTTGTAGAACAACTTTACAATATAGAAATCTTCCGTTCTCCTAAATAATCCAACCCCGGGTCTTTGCAGACACACAAAACGTATTACTACATTTGGAGCATGGTTTAATGGTGTTGGCACCAAGTTTAATGGTGTACAGGTAAGTTAGTTTGAGACTATAGCTTTTATATATATAAATTTTATTAATGAGATATATCTCTAATTAAATCGAACTGAGTGATGTTATGGAACAACTTTACAATATCAATCATCCGTTCTCCTAAATAATCCAACCCCGGGTCTTTATAGGGCACAAAAAAATGTAGTACTAAATTTGGAGCATAGATTAACGGTGTTGGCACCAAGATTAGTGGCGATGGTTCGTTCGAGACTCATACAGCCTTTATAATGTTTTATTAATGAGGTATATCTCGAATCAAATCAAACTGAGCGATGTTATGAAACAACTTAACAATATCAATCTTCTGTTCTCCTAAATAATCCAACCCCGGGTCATTATAGGGCACACAAAATGTATTACTAAATTTGGAGCATAGATTAACGGTGTTGGCACCAAGATTAGTGACGATCGTTCGTGTGAGACTCATACAGCTTTATACTGTTTTATTAATGAGATAGATCTCGAATCAAATCAAACTGAGCGATGTTATGAAACAACTTAACAATATCAATCTTCTGTTCTCCTAAATAATCCAACCCCGGGTCATTATAGGGCACACAAAATGTAGTACTAAATTTGGAGCATAGATTAACGGTGTTGGCACCAAGATTAGTGGCGATGGTTCATTCGAGACTCATACAGCCTTTATACTGTTTATTAATGAGATATATCTCGAATCAAATCAAACTGAGTGATGTTATGAAACAACTTAACAATATCAATCTTCTGTTCTCCTAAATAATCCAACCCCGGGTCATTATAGGGCACAAAAAATGTATTACTAAATTTGGAGCATAGATTAACGGTGTTGGCACCAAGATTAGTGGCGATCGTTCTTGGAGACTCATAGAGCCTTTATACTTTTTTAATGAGATATATCTCGAATCAAATCAAACTGAATGATGATATGGAACAATTTAACAGTATCAATCTTCCATTCTCCTAAAGAATCCAACCCTGGGTCTTTAGCCTATAGGGCACAAAAAAAGTTAGTACTAAATTTGGAGCATAGTTTAACGGTGTTGGCACCAAGATTAGTGGCGATCGTTCGTGTGAGACTCATACAGCCTTTATACTGTTTTATTATTGAGATAGATCTCGAATCAAATCAAACTGAGCGATGTCATGAAACAACTTAACAATATCAATCTTCTGTTCTCCTAAATAATCCAACCCCGGGTCATTATAGGGCACAAAAAAAGGTAGTACTAAATTTGGAGCATAGTTTAACGGTGTTGGCACCAAGATTAGTGGCGATCGTTCGTGTGAGACTCATACAGCCTTTATACTGTTTTATTAATGAGATAGATCTCGAATCAAATCAAACTGAGCGATGTTATGAAACAACTTAACAATATCAATCTTCTGTTCTCCTAAAAAATCCAACCCCGGGTCATTATAGGGCACACAAAATGTATTACTAAATTTGGAGCATAGATTAACGGTGTTGGCACCAAGATTAGTGGGGATGGTTCGTTCGAGACTCATACAGCCTTTATACCGTTTTATTAATGAGATAGATCTCGAATTAAATCAAACTGAGTGATTTTATTGAACAACTAAACAGTAGGCCTACTAAATGTCCATTTTCCTATAAACTGTCATTACAAAACTAGCTAGATTAGGGATTGTATAGCCGCTCCGAGGAACGTTTGCTATTTCAATTCCCTGCTTGTACTTGGCTTCACGGAGTAATTCGTCCTTTATAATGATTCTCTTCATTCCGGAGCAATGTATGTACTAATGCTTACGAACGTACTCTTGTACTAGTACAGTACATGTACCTGTGTATAAGACAGATCCATAGACAGAATACGCACGCCGCACGTCTGTGACGTAGGGAATAATGAATATTCATATCGCCACTAATCTTGGTGCCAATATATGCTACCCTTTTGGCCCCGCAAAATGTTCGCCTCCTCATCCCTTACGTACGGTTGGCATGCATGGTTGGCGACTGGCGTGGCGCCTTGAATGAGGACTTGAGTTGATCATGTCGAGATCAATTGCAGCTAACCGGGTCTTCAATACATTTAGGGTAGGTAGACTTTCATAAAATTATTTGTGAGACTGTTGCTTTGTTAATGCATGAGTGAAATAACATTTATATAGGCCAGATTTGGTGGCCATTTGAAAACGTGAGCTGATTCGACGAGTCGAGCGATAGAGACTGTTTACACGGCGAGAGATAGCTAGGTCGTGCCCGACGGAGGCCCGGATAAACTGAGTGCCGCGCCGCTGGAGCACCTCCAGCCCACAAAGGTGCATAAACTATCCTGGCTGTGCTGGACTAAAAGTTAAAACGCTGTGCTATTGATTCTCAACATTTGAAACACCACTGTAGAAAACTCAACTGATTTCACTCAAAATCAGTACTTTAGCTTAGTGACGATTGATGACACAATAGCAGTAAAATACAATTTGTTCAACTTTATGGAAACAATCATTTAAAAATTCAAATTGTGAATGTGAGTCCGCTGTCAAACTTGCTGATCAGCCGCATCAGCATGATTGAAAAAATTGTGTGCATCTGTGTGTTATGAGTGTATTGACTATTCATGTATTCAAATGCTGCCTATTAACATGTAGTGCAGTGCTAGAGTTCAGTACGCATTAGCATTGACTCTCTTAGACCGAAAGCTTCAGTCTCTCTAATCGTCGGTTGTTCCACTGAGACTAGGTCTACGTCTGGCTCCACTAGACCTCCGATTATAGAGACTGAAGTCTGGGGACCTCTTTCTGTGAGGCACTGTACGGAACAAATGGTTCGGTTCGACCGGACCGCGATGAATGAGATATGCAACGAGATTTTCACTCTTTACATCCTCATACATGCTGCAATATGACAATAATTTAGAGTCTAATTAAAAATAACATATATATAGCTTATTTGACTTACGATAGCTTGCTCATTTAGATCCTAAATTAATGATTAATCCGAGAAAGTCTCGTCGTCAACATTATCCGTCTTGGTTTTAGTTGATGAATATTCATTTTTTCTTTTCGAACGTCCAATAGCTACCGTAGCTACATACGAGTCGGCCCAGCTTGACCACCGAACTCCCACGAAACGAGTGCTCTGATTGGCCATTTGGCTATGTTTTGGTAGGTGGACCCGGAAATATATCGGTCGCCGGGTAATATTTCGAATGCATGAACGTACCGTTTCACAGTTCGGAAATACAAATTGGATAACTCATATAAATAAGTCCATAAATTATACATTTAATATTAAGTTATCAAATTTTGATAACTGTAATTAGGACAAATGACATACCGACCTAATTTACATCTGATTTAGAAATCAGAAAATTAGATCTAAATAAAGAAAATCGGGGAGAAAATGTTTTGACATAAAAAGCTGCCATTGTTGGCTATAGCTACCCCCACGGTACGAGATCTCTGGGTTGCCATCTGTATTGGGGAATGACAACAAATGTCAGTTTTATTAAAGAAATGACCCAAATCAGATGGTTATTGCTGTCTATGACTCTCTATGCTTTGCCGGAGTGCTCCACTCCGGGATACGCCTCTTTAAAAACCAAACCAAGCCATCCTAGCGCTGCATATTAATAGTTGAATATGAATATTTGAGTTGGTACAGTGTGGTGGAGATCAAAATTAAATCGGCCAGGGGCGGTGTTCTGAACATTGTTCATTGTTGAAAGTTATGTGTTAACTGTTATCTTTTGTTGTATCTTCCAGAGATAACACAGGGCTAATATTGTTGTAAGTTGGTAGTCTATTCTTAAAATCATTTTATCCCTTTGTTATCTCTTGAAGGACAGCCTCTATCTTATCTTGGACATGCCCTGGTACTCCTAAAACTTTTTGAAGAAAATAAGGCTCGTTTAGCTCTATATCTGATCTAAGGCCAGGGGTATTGTTGCATGCAGTTAAATTAAATAATTAAAAAAAAGCAGAGCCTGCCGGGCAGTTTGGATTGACATATGCCCTGTGGTCCAGATGCAGATCACTATCCAGACTTTCAGAAGCCCTGTTCTAGACGGATTATTTCACAATGTAATAATAATAATAATGATAATTCACATTTATTTAGCTTGCTGCAAGCAATAAAGAAGTATATCGCTACCAATTTTCTATCTAGAAATTCTATTCCGAGGCGCACTATTTAATTATCACCCGGGCTTTAGCCTAGCTACCATTACAGCCCTCTAGCATTTCAAGGAATTAATTCCTTCCAGGTACCCATTTACCTCACCTGGGTCGAGTGTGGCAACAACTCGAGAAGAAGTTCAGAACTGATTCTATCCTTCTATATGCATTGTTTCTTTCTCTTCATCATGACAGATATTCAGTAGGAGTGTGTGTAGTGCCGATCAACTTACCCAGTCAAGACATAGTCAAAGACTGTTCAAAATGGAGACGAGTACTGGAGGAGAGAGACAGATGTCTACGGAAGAACCCAGGAGGTTTGCAAGACCTGACGAAGTGGACTATGCCTTGAAGCAGGATATGGGGCAGGGCTACACCAGGAGAACTGTCCAGATCTCAGCCTTAGGTACTTATAGAAACTCCAACCTTAAAGGCATCGTTTAACAATGTTAAATCTGAGATGCACGGCCCTACGTGTTATCAGTGTCTGTGATGAGGTGTAATATTGAAGCCCTAAAAAAATTTGGCTTCAAAATGATCAAGAAGTGCCTCAAAACACTAAAAATCTTTGAGTGATCGGTTTTACCATGCGTTTTCCCCAATAGACTGTAGTGTTATGTCAGCAAATGTCAGATAATGACTTTCATTAAGCCTGTTCGTCATAAAACTGAAGGCTGACAACACCTGTTATTGGATAAGAACCTGAAATGTGTCAGACTCCCGATGAGTCGTTGATAGAAAACAAGGGGTTTAACCAGTTGATTGTATAGGTTTGTTACTTTGTTGTCCATGGCGACACAGATGAAATAACCAATTTAAGATCACATAGATTTAGTGCTCTCATATTTCAAACATTCACAACTCCCTTTATAATATGGGTCCGATTTATTTCAAACTTGTGCCTTTCTGTTTTTCTTATTTTCTGCTTTCATACAAATGAATTTATTACAAAGGTTGGATTGCCCTTTAAAGCCCCACTGCACTTCTTATAGCTACTTGCGCCCTCTATATAGCAAACAATTCCTAATTGGTGCCTGTTGGTCCCCCCATGATCCCCTTTTTTTAATGTTAATTGAGAGCAGATTTGATGAGATAACCACCTGTCAGTGACTGACCTTGCAGGGAGGTTTTTATCCCACCTGGCCAAACTAGTACAGACTGGCTGTAAGGCAATTCATTGTTCATTGCTTCTCTCCACCCAAGAACTAAATGGGAACCCAGTGGGATGTGGATGTTGATGTGATAGGATTGGCACATGCGCGCTTGTAAAATAGGGCCTGCCTGGAATACTCCCCAGGGAGCAGAGTGTGTGCACTGTCATGTGTGGAATAGCATATGAATCCAATAACCTAGGTAATACTCTCTCTCTCTCTCTCTCTCTACGTGCCATATCCTGAGACGTTGGCGACCATAGAGTGTCACAACTCTCTGTCCCATATTCTATGAAGCAGTTCATTCTCCCCGAGATCACTTCCACTTTCAGAAATCCCACTCCTTAAGCCACTCATCCATGGAATCCTCCATCTACCCCTCGATTCTTCCAGTCAGTGCAAGATTTTCCAAACCATTCTTTCATATAACATGACCCAAGAAGCTCAGCTGTCGACCTCTTATAAACTGTATTATTCAGAAGCTTTTGTCTATTATTATTATTATTATAAGGTACCAAATACAACATGGTGTACGGAGAATGGGTTCCTGTTGACCGGCCTGTTGAAGGATGCCCAGCAGTGATCTGTATCCATGGTACGCCAGCAACAGAGGGTGCCTTTCGGCCGATTGGAAGCCGGATCGCCTCTGGCGGCTACCGAGTTTTAGCTGTCAACTTTCCAGGTAGGATTCATTGTTTGTAATTATCTTGATTTGGTCATGACCAGTTTCAAAGGAATAGGATGGATTCACAGCTAAAGGGGGGGTTGCATGACAAGGCTATGTTTCTTTCCCTTGGCCTGCCTGGGGGCCAATCAAGTACAATACGACTACAGACGACGCGGCCGCAGTATTCATGTGCGTATAACATACACAAAACCGACGCATGAGGAGAACTTCGATCTGTTTCGCGGACGCCAGCTCGTGTTGACCTTTATAATCAAGTCCATTCATTTACGTGCAGTTGTCCTAAAGAAGTTGTAGATGGCGTTAAACAGTATTTTATATGCTGCATCCCCTTTAACAGTGTTCCTACCAGCAAGCCACAACAGGCTATTCTTCACCTTGCTTGTTGACATCTTTCAACCAGTGCATGCAGCTAAACGCTACCCACTGACCTATATGAGCAAAGCAGTCCATACTGTGTAAATACTTTCAAAGGGATTGATTGTTTTGTTCTGATATCAGCATAAATTTTGTATATTGAATTTGGATGTCAATGCCCCTTATCACTTACTATGTCGATGTGACAATTGAAAGGCCCGGACTCTCTTTCAATACATGCAGGTATGGGTTACACAGAGATTGATCCCGAGAGGAGATACAACCACACCACACCAGATAAAGCTGAACTCGTCAAGGGTTTCATCACCGCTCTACGGTTAGAAAGGTAAGCTACATGGAAACATATTGTTTGGGATAAAACATGATCAGCAAAAGCTGCTCTATTTTATTCAATTTAATCAAGGTTTATTATTAAAGGGGTTTGGTATCTTTGTCTCAGATTCTAAAAAAGAATCCTGGATTATTAGCTAATGCTGCAATCATAATTATAAACCTTTAGGTCAGTCACGATTCCTATGACTTTTATAAGCCGATCGCCTGTCTGATTATCAAGATATTTATGATTGGAATTCGAAATTTCAAAAACCGTTTTCCCAACAGTTTTTATAACACTACAGTAAATTCGGGGAAACGAGTAGGTAAAACTGGTCACTCAAAGATTTTTACTTTTTTGAGGCACTTCATGATCATTTTGAAGCGCAATTTTTTTAGGGCTTCAATATTACACCATATCACAGACACTGATAGCACGTAGGGCCTGAAAACTATTTTCCCGGAATGGAATTTTACCGGGAATTTTACAGGAATAGTTAAAACCATGACTGCAATTTCGACCAATCAGATGGCTGGATTTCTTAAGTGAGGTATATAATACACCATATCACAGACACTGATAACATGTAGGGCCATGCATCTCAGATGGGAACATCGTTAAACAATGCCTTTAAAATCATGACAGGTTGTACACGTTTTTTTTACAGTTTTTACAAGTAAAATACAATTGCAAGAGTAAGAAAACATAGACTTGCGACCAAAGTTCTTACTAGGTAGTGCATGACGTAACATAGTAGAGGTCTCCTGGTCCAGCGAATATGTTACCAGACTGTGGATCACAGGGTTGGCGGTTCGAGCCCCGCCGCGACAGTAATGTCCTTTGGCAAGACATTAATCTACATTTGCCACTGTCAACCCAGGTGAAGTAAATGGGTTGCCGGTGGGAAGAAATTCCTTGAATGCTTTTATAGCGCCTTATTATGGCAGCTGAGCTACAGCCGGGGTAATGATATGATACTGAAAGGCCCAATACCTTGTATTAGGCGCAGTAGAGTGTGTTGATATAGTAGCTACCCTATTTAGATAGACATATTATTATTATTTATAATAACATACTTGATACGTTCACCAACCATGGGGGATTTCAGATGAAAAAAAGACCAATGGCAAATTATGCCTAACTAGGCTACTGACCAGGGTTGTTGATATTTCAATGCATACTTGCATTCTCACCAGAGCATCACACTTTTTATTCCAACACCAAGTGTAAGGGATTTAAGAATTTTTCCAATTTTGTAGAAAATCTTATTTGATTCTTATTGCAGTGTTGCCATGGTTATTGGTCATTTTCTTGTTGTCATGTAGTTGGAAAGTTAGCAACTGATCCAGACTTGATATGATGCTAACACCAAGTGCGAGGGATTTCAGGAAAAAATGCTTTTATCTTATTTGATTCTGATTGCAGTGTTGCCATGGTTATTGGCCATTCTCTTGGTGGTCACGTCGTCGGAAAGTTATCAGCTGATCCAGACTTAGAGGGCATTGTTCAGTCAGCTTGCTTTCTATGTGGAACGGGGGTCACGCCCCATAGGTAAGATCAATGTTACTCTATAAATCAGGGGAAAAAATATTGAAAAATTTTGGGGGGCTACTTTTCAAGCTTGCTTGCATGAAAATAACACTCTTTAATTTGTTTTGCATTGAACTCTGTGCAAATTTTTTTGTGGCTGTTTTATGACTTTTGGGGGCTCTTTTGGGTATTTCGGGGGCTAATTCGCCCCAAGCCCCCATGTATTTTCCCCTGACTATATTCCTTCAGATATACAAATGTCACAAATAGGAGGCATTAGAGGAAAATGAAACCCAACAAACTGATATCCTTATTAACAATTGTATATAATATGCCTTACCAGCCGGCCCATGTATTGTTTTGTTTAATTAATTAAGTAATTAACGATCACCGTATTTTTTTTTACAGTGGAGCTGAATTGGTATGATCGTATTGGCTAAATTTCACACATTTTGGGGTCTAAAATTACCTTCATAGCAATTTTAGGTTCTAAAAGGGCACTAGAAATGTCATAGATAAGAATAAGAGCAATAACCATGCACTTTGAAGGCATCTGCGGTATGAAAACATAACTCAACTATCCCTTTAATGAGTTCAAGTATCTGAGGTACATTTTCATTTAAGCTGAAGAATTAATGAGTTTCAAGTGAAATTGATAGTTGCCAATTTGATTAGACGGAGATGATTCTTCTTCATATCATTCATGGCACCGTAGAGCTTGCTGTTTTAAAGGTATAGACCAGTTTTGGAAACGCCCCCCTCTCAAAAAATGAAATGGAATACATCTTTCTGTTTACAGTGCATGTAACTTTACCAAGACTGGACCAAATTTCTTATCATTTTGATGATTCCAGAACCTTGCAGTACACACCAATACTTATATCGTTGGTGGGGTGACAAAACCTCGTATCTCAAAAATCATGAATTTTCAGGAGAGCGAAAAAACTTTCCTGTCTCAACAAATTTAGTGCTGTGACATCGTCCTTTCTTTTTAAAACTGGAATATTTATACAATTTCTAATGTAATTGTTGAAATACAGTAAAATAATTGTTTTTATATTTGAAAGTGAGTTACAAGGTTTTTGCATTTATCTACATTGAGATACGAGTTCTTACTTTCAACTCTGAATGAGTTACAAGGTTTTGGTTGAATAAGTTACGAGGATTTGAATACACTAACTTTGGTACTGTTAGGCCGTGTGTGACAGGCCTGATAAAAACCTGATTTAAATCGGTTTTCCGATTTTTTAAATATTTTTCCCGGTTTTTTTCTGATTTTTTTTTTTCTTCCCAATTAAAAAAAAAAAAAAAAAAAAAAAATCCAGATTTTTTTTTTTTTTTTTTTTTTTTTTTTTTACCAGATTTTTTTTCTTCTTCGCTATTAATTTTATCCTGATTTTCCTGATTTCCACCTTATTTTCTCTGTTCTACCCCATTTTTTTCCCAAATTTCCCTATTCTTTCCCAATTTTCTCACTCGAAAGGGGGGAATGTTGTTAGATGCCATTTTTTCCCCGCGAATCCTCTTCTTTTTTTTTTACTCAAAGGGGGCCTGGTTGAGGGGAAAACAAAAAACCTATTTTTTTTTTAGTGCTCACTATCACCCCTGGTGTGAGTTAAGAGGAAAAGGAATTACGTATCTTATGTTACAAGGTTTTGTCAGTGCAGTTTCAAAGGGGGTTAAAGTTACGAGGTTTAGTTTAAGGGTGTTTGTGTGGAATTTGTGAAAAACCGAGAAGGAGGCGTTCCATGGATATATCAGGTGGTGTCGTAGGCCATTAGGTACAAAATTATGCAAAAAAATCAAAATCTCAAAAAATTGAGATACAAGGTTTTGTCACCCCACCGACGATATGCTAGATTATCAACCTTTTCTGATTGATTCCACAACGTTTCTTTCACAATGCAATCGCATGACCAGAACTGGTCTATAGTGCATAGCCAAAGGTCTTTCTTTTTCCTTGGTAAACAGATTATATAAGAAGATTAACAGTCCTGTCGTGTCTCATCTGATGTACAAGATGATGTACTTACCATACATTGGATGGATGGTGATGTACTTCTTTGCACAGATTGTCCGGAGGTGGGGTTTTCGAGGCAGAACCCACGAATCTCAAGCCCTCTGCATCTATGAGGTTGCGGGTATGAACTTTGAGATGGTAAGCGGTTAATAACGCCAAGGGGGGGGGTTATGCCCAACGTTGTACAAGACATTTTGACTATATCCTCCAGCCCATTGAATACCTGATATTCAACGACTTAACTCTCTTTATATGCACCCCTTAAGAAGATTCTAAGCCTCTGATTGGTCGAAACTGCAGGCATGATATTCTGATTTGCTGATTGCTGGGCAGTATTGCAAAAAATATTGACCAGGTATAGTTCTACTTGCCTTTGCAATGCAAAGATACAATGGATGCGAGTGAAGTTTACAATGGAAATGCGCAGTGAAACACGCACAGTGCTCTCAGATAGGTAAATTTCATTGACTTTTTAAATAAATACTTCGACAGCATATTTTTGACAATTGACACGAGGATGCAGTATATAAACAGATATTGACTGCTTATTTCAGGTCGGGGTTAAAACTATAGCTACTTAGTGATCTCAAGACTGCACTATGCCCCTCTACTTCGTCTTGGCGCACAGTACAGTTTCAAGATCACCTTGGGCAATAGTTTTAACCGTTCCCCTCGAAGCAGGCAATATTTGTATGTTTAAAGGGTTGTCATGGAGCTAATCAAGACTGGAAATGAATAATTTTGCAAAGTCATTGTGTTGCACAAAGCAATCCTTACCTCAATTGGTGTCTATTGTTTTATGCAAAAAGGCATGTGTGGTAAATGAGCGACTGTGCAGAGAGGGAAAGAAAGCAACTAAAATGCTAGTAATGTATATTTATACAAGGACTGGAAACTTGTCAAAATGTCTGTACTTCTATCATGGCATCTCCCTTCATTTCTGTTTCATTTCTTTTCAAATTCATTCATCCTTTCATTTCACATTTGTCTATACAGGATGCAGAAACTTAGTACGAGGATACCGTATGCTGCGTACATCATTTATAGGGCATTGTATATTCCCGTTATTGGAAGGATCACACGGTTTATCTGCGCCAAATTCATGCATTATATGGGTCTTCGAGGGAGAACAACAGAGGCGCAGGCCTTGGGTATCTACGAAGTGTACGCCATGGAATTTAATGTGGTAAGAAGATGGTGTTAGAAGCCTAGTCTGTTTCAGTGTTACTTCTCTTGGCTTCTTTTTGTTTGGTTTCTTTGTCTTGTTTTGTTTTTATTCTCAATCAGGCCTAGTGCAGCATGGAGTCATTGTGGTTTATCCTCAAGTTCTCCACCAAGGTGTTAAATGTGTATTTATTTTATTTATTTATTCATGATTTCTTTTAACAGGGTAGTTTTATTCAGTTTCACCCAATGCCAGTGGACCTGCTTTTCAAGAAAGGCTGCCTAATACAATAACATCATAAAAACATAAATATAATAGTACAATCATTAGCCATTGGACATACATGTGAAATATCAAATTAAACATATCTTTTAAAAATGACACTATTTGAATCATACAATATTTATTATCAATTATTATCAACAAAAAAATCATTACATGAACAAAATCACGCCTAAATCAAAAACAAAATAAATAAATAGATTTAAAGATAGAGATCAGTTCTGGTCATGCGATTGCATTGTGAAAGAAACATTGTGGAATCGATCATAAAAGGTTGATCATCTAGCATATAAGTATTGGTGTGTACTGCAAGGTTCTGGAATCATCGTAATGATAAGAAATTTGGCCCAGTCTTGGTGAAGTTACAAGCACTGTACACAGAAAGATGTATATGGGACTACGAGACATGTGCACGATATCTATCAGGTCCAAATAGATATACTAAGTAGGCCGCTTCTCGGCAAAATTTGTATCATCATGTTTTAGTCAAAACATATTCTTTCACATGATTGGTAATACCGGTAAGAGCTTCCATTTCATTTTTGAGAGGGGGGCGTTTCCAAAACTGTTTTTTACCTGTAAGCTTTATTTTAAAAAATTAGCTCACATTCTTCTTTCATTTCTTCAGATAGGAATATTTGGTCACATGGTCTACTAATTTTTATTTTCGAAAGATATACCTCAATGTTGTTTTTGATTCTTGGTTGTCTTTGCATGCTGTACTGAACACTTTCAACTAATGTGCATAAAGCTTAAGACTGGCAACATCTTGCTCCATTTGCTTTCCTTAATATTAATACTAATTTCATATTGTGAGTTAGTATTATGCCCTTATATCACATATGTGATCCAACATTTATTCCACCATCAATTGCTCTAAGGTTGCTTATGCCTCGGTCACAAAGGTTTGTAGGAACGATAATTTCGTACGAATCTCCCTGTTTTTCCATTGTCTTCCCGAATTTCCATTGTCCGAAAATCGTTCGTAAGGCGTTCGTAGCAGTTCGGAATGGCATTTGTGACCGAGGCTTTAAGCTAAGGTAGCCTTTACCGAATTTGTTTTATATCACCACCTACAGTTTGCTCAAAATTTGATGAGAATAGCCGAAAGGAAACTGCCGGTCCTGCTTTTCTTCTCCCTCGATGATACCGTCGTCGAATCGGAACTCCTCCAGGAAAATATAGATGTTCTTGGGATTCCAGACGCAGATATCAAAGACTATGATGATAACGGACAATCAGAATCCATTTACAGAGGTAAGTTTGTCAAATTGGCAAATCAAGGATAGGGGGAAAATGTGTACTTTCAATTTTTACTCTAAGTGTGAAATTTGTGGACCAAAATAGCATGATGTTTAATACCCATATCCTATCCAATAATATAATTTGAGTATTGCCCAAGAGGGAAGATACTTGGGAGAAAAACAGAAATCAGGGATATTTTTGTGCTTGACAAACTGGAGAGTTGTCCGTTTATACGGTACATCACAATCCTCTGACCAATTTGATATTTGCATAGATTCAGTGGTCTCAAATGTCAAACATCTATAACTCTCTTATTATTGGTCTGATTTATATCAAACTTTCAGCGTTCTGTTGATCTTATTTTCTGCTTTCGTACAAATGAAATTATCACTAAGGTTACATTGCCCTTAAAGTGTCTGCACACACAACCCCCCCCCCCCCCCCCATAATTGTCTTTAGATTAGATAACACTGCTTAATTGGGGTTTGGAGTTCAAAGTACACCAAGTAAAAACAAAGTCCATAGGGTCTAATATAGCCAGTCATTAACAGATTTAATCAAAGCTGGTCAGTGGCGGTTCTAGATCAACGGAGGCTTAGGGGCTAAAGCACCCTTTCCCAAATGTTACTGATTACAAATGAATTTAAGTGAGGCATGTGTAGAACATGAATCTAAAAGCACCCCAATGCCCCACCCCAAAGCACCCCCTCCTTAAAGCCCCCTTCCCAAATAATACTGATTACAAATGAATTTGAGGCATGTGTAGAAAATGGCTCTGGAAGAACCCCAATTTGTAACTGAAATGTGAATCCTTACACAGATGGGACCTTAAGGAGAGTGGTGCGCTTTGCTGCGGGGACACATCGGCTTCAGTTCACCAATCCGGAGAGAACCACCGCAGAGATCGTCTCTCTGCTCGACGCTTTGGGGAGAAGATGATGATGCTTGACTGCAGGGTGAGGGACACACTAAGGGTGCGTTCTAGCGATTTTTTGAAGCTAGCATCACAAACATGAATCACAAATCAAAACGACGTTAAAAACCATAGTTACTGCGCAAAAGCGTTCAAGCGATTTTTCATCAACGCTGATTCTCGCTCATTTCTACCCAGCCACTGCTCATAGAATCATGATTGAGATCTCCGTTCGTTCAAGCTAATTTTAGCGTCTGCAGAACGATACAAAACTCATCTTTTTCAGCGTTTCATGTGTTTATTTTTACGACCGACGAAAAATTGCTTGAACGCAACCGTGTTTATAAACGTCTTTGAAAACCGTGATTCTAGGGTGAAAAAGTGTTGATTGAACGCACCCTAAATGAAAGGAATAGTAACGATAGTCTATAATTCACACAAGACGATAGGTCAATTAAATCTGTTTATCCATCTATGTCCCACAATGAAATGGACCTTTAGACATGGGTTCTCCATAACTTTCCATCTTCAGCTGTTCTAGTTAGCTTCTCAAATGATATCCTCATCCACTGTTTGATGTTATCAGTCCTTGTCCTGGGTGGACTGCCCCTCTTTCCTCTCCCATAAAGTTCCTCCTTGCAAGATGGCGTTTGCCCTGCACTCTGGATGTGGACTGCGGTCCGGACTTTAGACAATTACTTTCAAAATTTCATCACGCACCCAGAACTCAAGTTCATCTTTAATTTAAGCGTGCCAATGATAGAGGATTCATGCCATACTGTAAGAGAAAAACAACAACTGGGAACTGAGGAAAGATAAGTTGTTCTCCCATTTTACACTTACCAATACTGTTCTCTACCTTTCTGCAGCGATCTGTGGTGTAATTCCAGAATGATTATGAAGAATTTAAGATACACCAACAACATGGTGGCCTGTACTTCAACAGAAGAAGAAGAATTGGAGATGGTGCACCTTTACCTCAGCATCCGATGAACTGAAATCGGTGATTACTGGTATACGTAGCTGTTTTAATCGACATCTTTATGACGCACAAGTACATAAGGTTCATAAACAATCTGCTTTGCCACTAGCAATTGTTGAAACGGAATGGTGTACTACAATTTTTTAAATTTTGATTACATTACTGTAATTATTGTAGACCTGGATGACATCTTTATTATACTTCATAAACCGATGTTTCAAGTTATTGATTTATACATATATATATATATACCGGTATGCATTAATTATGCAAGAGATTTATTGTATCCTTCTATGAATATGTTTTGTGAACTGAAAAGTATTGATAATACATCATTGAAATATAAACAGTATTGTTGAAACAATTTTTACTTCAAAATATTTTATCAAAATCGATGTCTTCCTATGCTGTGTTTGGCCAAGCCTTTATTCTGAAAGTCAGAAATGTCAAGACAAGGTAAACAAGACAAGGTAAACTACCTTTGTGTGCAATATGTGAAGACTTCGCATGTTCAATGGTGAATGGAGAGATTCAATTTTATGGTGGTAAAAAAGACCCGCTCTAACGAAAAATATTGCTGTTTAGAATGATAGCCACCATGTATGCTCTCCAGTCTGTGTGCTTTGAGATACAAAGTGTGCTACCTCAGTCACATTACCTCAGTCACATTATAAGAATTTATGAAGTTTTGAAATTGTAAATGATCAAATGTTGATAAAGTAATAGATTTGTCATATATGAAGTTCGTAATAACATAATTGCAGTTAATATATTTTAAGTACATAGAAAACAAATATTTTTATGAAAAAAGAAGTATGAAGTTTTTTTGGGGGGGTTTTATTACAGTGCAAATTTGGGAGGACCTTAAAATATGCATCATAGAGTTGTCAAGTTATATTTCATTACAACTTCAAATATTCACTAGTTTCATATTTTTTGTTACATTTTGTCAAAATCTAAATAATTTTTCTTCTTCTTTTTGGTCTCCTAATTTTTCTTCTTCTAGTATAAGCACCATAATTTCAGGGTGGACATCCTTTTGATATTGCTATAAAAATGAAACAATTTTTGTTGTTGAAATTTATACAAATTGCTTTCATGATTACAGTCATGTGGGAATGGGCATTTAAAAAAAAAATATGTATACACCATTCAAACTTTCTGGGGAGTGTCCCTGTTATTATCATTGCCAGCAGTAGAAAATTGTATGGCATTATCCAATGTGTGTGTGCTTTGATAAAACTGAATATATACCGTATATTTTGTGAGAAGGAGACATAATTATATGAGAACATGATTATAATATTATTAACCTAATTAGAGAAGAGCTCAGGTCTACTTTAGATGACAGTCTCAAACAATCTGCATCATTACAACAATTTAAGTATAAATATAAACAATATCTTTGCAATTCTAAATAGTCATATCAATTTAAAAACAATTATTATTATGTTTCAAATCGCAATTATGTTACCATCGGGTCAATTTAATCTAATTATAAAACCAGAGACATTTGAAGGGAGAGTCCACCCCGAGGATGGGTTTACTCCGCCTTAACTTGGCCACACACATTCTCAGGGTGGACTTCCCCTTCATTGCTACCGGGGCTAGACTCGATAAGCTTCGCTTTTTCTAGCCCCATCTACATTACTCACCTTTTTATGTTTTAATGTTGATGTTTGTTAACTGATGTAGATTTTCATTGTTCTTTTATGCTTATGTATCTGTTTTTCATTTGCTTTGTGTCAAATGTATAAAATGTATTTTCTTACCTTGTATATTCTTCTGGTTTTTAATGTGGAAAATAAATGAAATGAAATGAAATGAAATGAAATGAAATGAAATGAAATGTTTTGTTCTCTATCTTGTTATTTTTCTTAGACTTTTTTGAGATATCTTGCTTTTGGGTAAATCAAGTAAATCTTAAAAGTATATTCCTTCTGGGTTTTAGGAAATTCACTGTTTAGATTCAGTTGAGTTCTAAAGAGTGAATGTGAATTTGGAAGAGTGGAGGGTGTGTGGGAACAGTAACAAAAAGGAGAATGAGGAATGGAGGGGGAGGGGGGGGGGGGGGGAGGGAAAGAGGAAGAAAGTTGTGGAGAGAGGACAACAAAAGGGGACAGATTGATATAGGGACAGAATTTCATCAAACTCGCCGGGACGTATCAAAATTACCCAGAGAAAAATAAACGCCAACACGCCTTTACCTTTGGAGCCCATTTTGCGGTCCACATCAACATAAAGCAAATAACACACAAAATATGAAAATACCTAATGTTAGTTTTATTAATATAAATACAGTATAAAAAAGTAAATAAGTACAAATCTGATTCTAAAGCTATTATTAGAAAGTCTGTATAAAAAGATCAAATGCAAAAATATGTCAAAAACCTGAAACTCCTTATAACCAAGACATTGTGCTATGAAAATTACCTTAATCAGTGGTTAAAAAAAAGAAGAGAATAATATAAAGAGCTGGGAGCAGCAATAGTACGTTATCGCACCAGAGTTCTTTACTATGAGTTTCAACTGTAATAATACTGATAATAATATGACGTATACAGGGCGTATCATAATAAAGGATATTGAAGTTTAATGACGATTTATATGAAAACTACTAATTTATAATCAAGCATTTTATGTCTGTTGTAAAGGACAGAATGTCCTCTTTTTAATGACACCCCGATCATACTACTACTGTCACAGTTGACTGAATAACAAAGCATTGCTGTCCACCATGTGAAAGGTGCACTGTGACAAGTTAGCATTCACAGATAAATTATAAAGATTAGTGCTTGTGTCAGCCCAGACATATTGAAATGCTGAACAATGAGTGGATTATGTGTCTAAGAAGGAAATGTTATCAAACTTGGCACAGTGCACCTTTCACATGGTGGACAGCAATGCTTTGTTATTCAGTCAACTGTGACAGTAGTAGTATGATCGGGGTGTCATTAAAAAGAGGACATTCTGTCCTTTACAACAGACATAAAATGCTTGATTATGAAATCAGTAGTTTTCATATAAATCGTCATTAAACTTCAATATCCTTTATTATGATACGCCCTGTATATCACAGAATGTCGACACTATCAGTGCTCCCAGACTTGTGTTTTTAAAGGGATAGTTGAGTTCTGTTTTCAGACCGCAAATGCCTTCAAAGTGCACGGTTATTGCTCTTATTCTTATCTATGACTTTTCTGGTGCCCTTTTAGAACCTAAAATTGCTATGAAGGTAATTTTAGACCCCAAAATGTGTGAAATTTAGCCAATACGAGCATACTAATTCAGCTCCACTTTAAAAAAAACACAGTGACCCTTAATTAATTATTTAATTAAAAATAACAATACATGGGTCGGCTGGTTGTGCGTAATATAAGCAACACAAAAAAGCAAAAAAACCCACCAACATCGGCATTGGCTGAAATACAACGTAATAGGCGTTAATTCGTTTTTTTTTCAACATTTTTTTTAAATTTTTCAAAATATCTAATATTTGTGGTGGTACACAGGTATTAGAAATTGTTATTTTTCAGCCGTCTCTGAACTAATTTTGACCAAACAAAAATGATTTTGTCATTTAAATATTATGCTCTTTCAAATTTGACACTCAGTTTTTCATTATCTCACAAAAAATTATTTTGTGTAGCGCCCTCTGCAACAGAACTCAACTATCCCTTTAATACAACTTTGTAAAAATGTTACATAATAATTTTCAACTTATTGTTAGGACTGCACTTTTGTTGGATACTGGAAAGAGTTAAAATTAGTTCTAATTAGCTTTAAAGCCCCTCTGCACTAGTTTGGCATGGAGGGATTAGACCTCCTGCAAGGTCACTGGCAGGTGGTTATCTCATCAAATCAGCTCTCAATTAACATAAGAAAAAAGGCGATCATGGGGGACCAACGGTCATTGATTAGGCATTGTTTGCTATATAGAGAGCGCAAGTAGCTATACATGTGTACGTATTGCAGTGGGGCTTTAAGATTAGGGTTAAGTTCAGAGTTAGGGTTTCAGAGCTTGAAGCAAGAAACTGGTGAGTGTAAAATTTGTCATCCAGCAACTATCGCCAGAGCCTGTGTCGTACAACCAATCTATCACATTATTTCTCTCTTAAAGGCCCACTGCACTACTTATAGCTACTTGCTCCCTCTATATAGCAAACAATGCCTAATCGATGACGATTGGTCCTCCATGATCCTCTTTTTCTTATGTTAAGGGAGAGCTGATTTGATGGGATACCCACCTGTCAGTGACCTTGCAGGGTGGTCTAATCCCTCTTGTAAACTAGTACAGATGGCCTTTAAAGCGAAACTGAACTGATGAACTCTCTGCACTAGCCTACTGCTTATTGCACAGTGCTATCTCATGATCAACTTGCCAACAGTGGGTAACACAATACCTAGGAATTGATGCAAGTACCAACATACCGCTACAGGTGACCCAAAAAGGTGCTAGAGGGAATTAAGCGGTTGTTCTTCTAGTAATTTATGGCATAAATAGACATAAAATTCTGGCATTCCCTTGGCCAATATTCTACCCTATCACTCATAAATAGTATTTATATCATATATATATATATATATATATATATATATATATAAAAACGTATCAAAAATATTTCCTTTAATTTCATTTCAATGATGGAGCATGCATCAAATGCATTGGATGCTAACAGGCCGTATGACGACCATGCAACAAAAACTGACGCACCATGTGCAATACTTTTTTCTCTTTAATTGTGCTCAGTTTGTGTATCTGGTACATCTTAAATGCTATTAATAATAATAATATTTATAAAGCGCACATATCCATTGTAAAAGACTGCTCAAGGTGCTCTGTACAATATCAAAATAATTATACAATATTAAAACTACAACATAAACACATGGTGCTTAGGTTTTTTGTTAAATATTTAAATTGATAATGATTGCCTTATTTTTAAAGTGTTTCATAAATTGGGTGCAATGTTAGCAAAAGCCATGTCCCCCCCATTCATTACTGGTTTTGGGTGTACATAACTGGAGCTTTGAACCTGGGCCCTGTTTCATAAAACTTGATATCAATAACAAGTTACAAGCTACTGTTATAAGCTACTGTTATAAGCTACTGTTATAAGCTACCGTTATAAGCTACTGTTATAAGCTACTGTTATAAGCTACTGTTATAAGCTACTGTTATAAGCTACTGTTATAAGCTACTGTTATAAGCTACTGAAATCATGGCATCTGATTGGCTGAGAGCAAATTTGTCATAGAAATTTAGCAGTTGTTATAGATAAAAAGTTTTATGAAACGGGCCCCTGAACGCAAGTTCCGCTGTGGATTGTACGGTTTCAAAATCTGATACAAGTAGTGGGGTGAAGAATGAAGAAGTGTTTTGTAAGTTATGAGTAAAATCTTATACATGATTCTTCTACTGCTGAGAGTGACGAGCCGAGCTGCCATCTTCTGAACACGTTGCAGACGGGATTTTTGATTCTGAGGAAGGCCAAAATACAACAAATTGTACATATTCAAACAATATGTAATAAAATAATGAACAATCTGCTCAGTGGCTTTCTGATTCAGCTATTTTCTGATCCTCCAAATATTGTGAATATGGAATGATGCTGAACTAACAACATTTGAAATCCGAGAGTTCATGGTCATTCCAGCATATTGAATCAAGACTCTATACATCTATTTAATTTTGAAGCCCATCTTCTTTGACAAGGATGCATGGCTTCATCAGTGATTTATAAATCAGATTTTCCTCCTCAAATTGGTACTACCGGTTAATTACTGCTATATTTTTCACTTTATTCAAAATATGAGCTTCAAATATTACTTCTGTTAGTCAACATTAGAGCGACTTGGGAATGGAATACTTGACATAACCGTACCCGCTCACTAAAACCCAAATCTGATTTGGGTTCCATGTGCAGTGTTTTGTGTTATTCTTTATTTTCTTCATACTCCTTATCCGTCAGCCTATGGAATGGCAGGTATTTTTTTTTCAGTCTGAATTGATACATTCTAGCTGGAAATAATTTATGGCTATTAGGTGATTGGTACTCACTCACAAGCAAATCCGCATACCGGTCTATTATAGTCAAACCTGCTTTTTGACCTGTATAGAAAGACCATTGTTTTTTAGAGAATGGTGTACCTCATTATTTCCACGTCAAGATAAAAACATTATTATACAATCTTTAAAATACAAACATATAATATCCTGTTAATAATGATCCTCTCAAAATATGCAAAATAACAATAACTTTGGTACGTTATCTAAATAAAATCAAGATTACCAAGAAAAAAAGGGAAGATAAAAAAAATAGAGAAAAGAAGGAGGAAACATTGCATGAACATAGACATTATAATTGGAATTACTGCATGCAACTGAGCCGCGATAGAAAATGAAGTTATAGATATATACGATTAAACGGGGGATGAATATTTTGGGCATCTATATTAGGAACCTGTTCATTAAGACCACCTGCCTATAAAGATCCTGTTTTTAGTGTCTCTTGAGCGGTCTTTACAATATATCGGGTAACTTCCTACAAAGTGGGCCTTTACATATAGGTTTCACTGTACTTTAGATCCATATCACGATAATCCTGGGCCCCGTTTCACAAAACTTGTCATCAGTGACAAATGACAGTGTTTGTTATAAGCTACTGAAATCCTTGCTTCTGATTGGTTATCAGCAGATCTGTCATTGATTTTTGTCATTTGTCATTGAAAAAAGGCTTTGTGAAACGGGTCCCTGGTGCTGTGCTTGTATCATCGACCCAAGGGACCCAGCAGTTGTCATGGTATTTTGGGTAGCTCCGTGGGTCAGGTTCCTTGTTCCTGATGGGAACCATCGTTGCTCTGTACTCTTCAATTCTCGTCAGGAGCAGCTCAACAATGTCTGTGAAAAGATGGATAGATGCTTCATGAAATTTCCTGAGATGGTCAACATTATTGCACACAAGAGGCCTGTTTCATAAAACTTTTTATCAATAGCAAACTCTAAAATTCTATGACAGATTTGCTCTCAGCCAATCAAATGCCGCAATTCCAGGACCGGTAGCTGTAGCTGTAACACAGTAATTGTAACTTGTTATTGATAACAAGTTTTATGAAACAGCGTCCTATAATTATTGAACTTCTGTCAAAATAAAATAGGATATATTATATCCCACAACTCCAGTGCAAAGATTGGCCACATACAGATGGCTCACATGACACGTAATACTTCCACAATGAAGAAAAAAAATGGATTTTGCTTGAACAGTGATGTCAAACAGGGCTTATCCAGGATATTAAGCAAATAATTACCATTGTTGAAGTTGACGGGACAAACTATCACTTCCAAGGCAATCTGGATGTAGCTATCTTTCCGAAGCGAAGCCGAGGAAAGATAGCGTATACATCCAGATCGCCGAGGAAGTGATAGTTCGCCATCACCTGAAACCAAAAGGTGATTTTTTGCTTAATATTCCACATCAGAAACATTTCACTTCTTCCGTCATTTTAGAGCAACAAGTCATCAATCATCAATTAACAGCTAGCAAACGGTTTACGATACGTACAGTGCATGCGGTACTTACGTACGTACGAATACGCAACGTATACAATCTTCAGTGTAACAAACTTTTCATCTCCCATCAATGATGGGCGAACTATCTTTCATCACATGATTTACTTTTAACCAATCGTAGCGGAAAAATCTTTGTTTGTGGAATATAAACCCCATTTGCATCACCGTTCTAAGCAATCAATAGGCCTATCATAATTGCCACTGCAGCCACTGTGACGTGGGATGTGTAACGCAGCGTTCTTTGGAAGCGTAGTGTGTATTTGTATTTTGGACTAAGGCGTGAGTTGAAGTTCATTTTGAGATGCATTTCCTTTTAATTCACATTTTTGGTTTTTCATTTTTTGATAGGGGATATATGTCAAATATACCACACAAGCTTTTCGAGGCACCTGTAAAATTATGGATATTCGTTGACTAGCATAATAACTATTTAATGTGGGGCTGCACCCTTCCGAAAAGATTGCTACGCCCTTCAGAAAAAAGTGCTATTCCTGCCACCTCGATCCATAATTTTAACTAGAGCCTCTCAGTGCATAGTATATTTGTATACTATCACCCACCCTGATTCCAGTTGGCTATGTTGTTAAATTCACAGGGATCATGGCGAATGTTGAACAGACACGGTTTCTTATAGGGATTACAGTTGGTAGAGGCATTGGCAGGCTTGTATGGGCAACTCACAACAAAGGCGTTAGGAACTGGTTTAGAATCCAGATCTGCTGTAAGAAAGAGAAAGAAACAAAATGAGACATGTATTTGACTTTATGGAGCTTTTACCCCACGTATCTAGTATTAAACCGATCGCATGCCCATTGGGCAGAAGTTATCACTGGTACATTTCCTAGGAACTTATCTCATCTCTCAAACAGTTATAACCCTTTTTATTATTTGGGTCTCTTTAAACTTGCACCAAAAGGGTTTCTCTGATTATTTTTTCGCTTTCAACTGAAGATATTCACAGGAATTAGTATCGACTTACCATACCACAATCACAATTATTAACACCATCACCATCATCATCATCACAACGTTACCACAACCATCCCATGCATCACCACCACTATCATCACCACCACCACCATTACCATCAACACTAACATCATCACCACTTCTACAATTACATATAACACCATCATCACTACTACCACCGTCACCACCACTACTACCACCACCACCACCTTACCTAATGACACGCCTTCTGGTGGATACCAGCCATTCCTACCGGTTCCTCTTTGCCCTTGTACAAGCTTGTAGTCTCCTATACGTATGGCCGACAGGTCAAGCAAAGGGTCAATAGTGTGGAGAATTTCTTGGCGAGGTGATTGCTTCCCTCTAGGAAGGAAAAAAAAACGGAAAGTAATAATAATAGTCATCTGGGCCCCGTCTTACAAAGATGATAAATAATCCTGGGGCCCGTTTCATAAAACTTTTTATCTATAACAAATGCTAAATTTCTAAGACAAATTTGCTATCAGCCAATCACATGCCATGATTTCAGTAGCTTACAACAGTAGTTTGTAACTTGTTATTGATATCAAGTTTTATGAAACGGGCTACTGGATTTATATAGCGCTTAATTATGAAATACCGTCTCTAAGCGCTTGACAGATATTATTACCCCGGTCATCAGATTCAATCATGTACATTGTGCACCATTTCCACTCCCTGGGGTCTATACCTACCATATGGTCACCATGAGGGCATATGGCAATTAATATCACAATGGCTTTTGTCATCCTACCAGGTCCCCATTTCTTTCCTGGTAAGGAGTGGCAAATGTAGATTAATGCCTTGCCAAAGGACATCGGTGCTGTCGCAGGCCAGGGTTCGCACCCACAACCTTTGCAATCCAAGTCAAGTGCTTAAACCATTTGGGAGAGAGCGTGCACTGTTGCAGACACATTCCGAGTTTCATTATGTGCTTACTTCCTGCTTGCGGCATACATGTATTTGTCAGGTGCTCCAAGATTTGCTCCGGTGACAATTGCTCTGGACTTTATGCACAAATCTGCCCGGGGGTCTCAGTCATGTAGAAATACTGTAAGCATTCGTGACCACAGGTTTTCCACACATCCCCTAAACGAGGATATTGCTTCTGTAGCCAAAATACACCCTAAATGAGGATTTTGCGTGTTTTTTTTCTTCCCGAAGTCACATCCTAAACGGGTATTTCAAAAAAGTGTACATACTCCTAAACAGATGCGGATCCAGGATTTCTTAGGGGAGGGGGCCCAACAAAAATCGCGCCGGCCAAAACGTCGCTCAGTGGGGGGTTTGGAGGGGGGTGGGGGGGTTGTGGGGGGTAGTGAGCACTTTTTTTTTGTTGCTCCCGAAAATTTGAAAATCGCGCTGGCCGAAAATTCGCTCAGTGGGGGGGGGGGGGGGGGGGGTAGTTAACACTGTTTTTTTTTTTTTTGTCCTTGAAAATTTAAAAATTTGCCAACCCCCCAAAAAGGTAAAAAATCACGTGTTTTAACATGATTTTTTTCTCACCCCGGGCCCCCCCTGGATCCGCCACTGCTCCTAAACAAGTATTGGTCTGGCACTGAGGGTTAGAAAAATACTCCTAACCGCGCATACCGGCGCGTACAGCAGGATATTGAATGATTTTGTTTTCTTGAAAAATGGCAAAAAATGGACATATTTTAACCCCTTAATTAGTGTGGGACCGTGCCGACCGGGTCCAATCTAAAAAAAACCACCCCTTATACGCGTTTTCTTGGTTACGCATACTTACCAGGCTCGTAGCCAGAGTTTGATGTTTGGGGGGCACATACAAGTAATCGATCGATGTCCTGGGGAGGGGTCTAAAAAAGTTCAACCGATCCTGGAAATTTTGTAGGGGGCATGTGCCCCCCCGCCCCCCCCCCCCCCCCCCCCCCCCCCCACGTGGCTACGTGCCTGATACTTACAGTATTCATTTTTGACTGAGACCCCCCGGGAAAATCTGTACTATTGTTTGCACTGGAAACAATCAAATAATCTTGAACTTTCAAGCCATTTTTAAATGCAACGTGGCATAGGGAGAGTTGAAGTAAAATGAAGACAACTCAATCCTACGTTAGCATAGCACTCACCTTGAGAGCATTGGCCAGACATCAATACCATCTAGATGTTGCAACGTGCTGGTATTACCGCCCGCTAAGCCATACAGCGTAGGAACCCAGTCACATACATGCATCATCCCATCGCTCATTCTCCCTGGCTTCTCAATGAGGGCGCCCCACAGGAATCCCACGCCACGCAGTCCGCCCTCCCATGTCGTATGTTTCATTCCTCGCAGAGGCCAGTTGCTGGCGTAGTTAAAGTCGAAGCCGTTGGCGGGGCCCCCGTTGTCGGTCGTAAAAACTATAAGGGTGTTGTTGTAGAGGGAGCTCTCCTTTAAAGACTGGGTGATATTTCCAATAGAGTCGTCCAAGGCTGCCACCATTGCTGTCACAAAGCAAAATAACCAAATAACAGAATTAAAACGAGTCAAAGCATAGCATCCCCTCGCCGGGTACAAATGGCCATTATTTAGCATTTTTTGCATATTTAGTGAGCTGTGACCTTTGACATACATACTCAACAACATTAAACGTTAAAGGACTGTTGGTAATCTTTCTGAGCTTATAGTTCTAAAGAGAACCATATACCGCTGGTTGGAGAGGATGAGTGGTAGGAGAGGATGAGTGGTAGGAGGAGCTCGACGTTTTCGAACAGGTTGACTATCCGTCATCAGGAGTAGGGAATAGCTGGCGTGCGTGGGCTTAAGTCACCAGGTTATAGTTCTCTTTAGAACTATTTAAGCTCAGAAAATAACCAACAGTCATTTTCAGGACTACACACACTCAAGAAAGAAAGATTACAGACACATTATATCTAATAAGGTGCAACAAAGAACATACCAGCATATTTTCTCCTGTTTTCATGTGTGATGTTAGGGAATCTCTTGTAATATTCATGGGGTGCTTGCAGTCTCTGACCGTCGTAGTTGGCGCTGTGTACAGCCTGGTGGGCTAGGTAGATGTACAAAGGCTGGGTGATAAAAAAGAGATAAATTATCAGGTTTTTCAAAACTCTTTTCTACCGAATTGCAGAACTACCAAGTTGACATGATTAGTGATTTAGCCTGGATTATGTCTGGGTTAGCTCATAATCTTCAGTGTGGCAAGCTGGAGCCAGGTGTTGTTTGTATACGCTACAGCACTAATTTCAAATAATGATTTCTAATGTAACAGTTATATTCATCAAGGTTCAATACTCATGGTGCTTAGACATTATTACCCCAGTTATGGCAGAGCTGTAAAGATATCTAGCCCTCAAGCGTATCTCATTTATACCTGGGTAGAGATTGGCATATCTATGTATTGTATTCTTTTTTAATTATCATGATTATTATCATTACTATTCTTATTACAACATTTATTGAATTATCATCACCATCATCATTATTATCATTATTATTACTTTTACTATTATTATAACGTATCCGGACACCTACCCCCTGGACTTCCACCCCTAGGACAACTACCCCCCTAGGACAACTACCCCCTAGGGCAACCACCCTGTAGGATGACTACCCACCAGGACAACTAGCCCCGGATAACTAGCCCCATACAACTACTACCCCCTAGGACAACCAACTACCCCCCGGACAACTACCCCAGGACAACTACCCCTGGACAACTACCCCCCCAGACGACTACCCCCTAGGACAACTACCCCTTAGGATAGTTGTCGTAGGGGGTAGTTGTCCGGGTGGTAGTTGTAAGGGGGGTACTTGTCCTAGGGGGTAGTAGTCCAGGGGGTAGTATTCTGGGGGTAGTTGTCCGGGGGGTGGGGGGGGGGGGTAGTTGTCCTAGGGGGAAATTTATTTGGGAGGTAGTTGTCTGGGGGGTAGTCGTCCTAGATGGTGGTTGCCCTAGTGGAAAGTTGTCCTAGGGGGTATTCGTCCTAGAGGGTTGTTGCCCTAGGGGGTAGTTGTCCCAGGGGTAGTTGACTGGGGGTGGGTATCCGGGTGGATGTCCAGGGGTAGGCGTTTTAGAACCTTATTATGATAATTATTCTCCTTTCTCTTCTTTTTATTATTATTAGTACTGTCATTATCATCACCATCATCATCACTATTATTACTATTATCAGTATTGTTTAAAAATGCAATCAATATCATCATGCTTATCATAGCTGCTCACCTCCTTGGGATTATGTTTAAGAATAATCTCCTGGGTCCTCTCCGTAAATATCTCGGTAGAATACTGACCAAACACGGGCTTATGGACAGACCCATCCATGTGAAAATCAAAACCTGTCATGTTACCGTCAGACTGGACAAAAGAAAAATTAAGGTAGAAAACAATATTTTTAAGAGTTAAGATTAAAACTTAAAAACTTGGTTCAGATATGTAGCGTCAAATCATGGCCGGTTTAACGATGAATTTAGCGTAGCAGGCTTCACATTTTGGTATCATATAACGAAGACCTCAGTGATTACATATACAAGCTCTGTTGCCATAATTGCCATTCATATACACATTGTACAAAAAGTCTTTTTACCATGGTCTACCTCTTTATATCTGAATGGAGGGAAGACAGGAATTTTTGATTTTTTTTTTAGGGGGAGAATTTTACTGCATTCAAGTTACCCTACCTTTCGTGAATATTTTTAAACAAAAGATTGCGTAACCCAACACAAAGACCTGGGCCCTATTTCACAAAACTTGTCATCAGTGACAAATGAGAGTTTTTGTTATAAGATAGTGAAATCCTTGCTTCTGATTGGTTATCAGCAGATTTGTCACTGACTTTGTCATTTTTCATTGAAGAAGGCTTTGTGAAATGGGTCACAGACTAGGGCTTGTGCCGACATACTACATGCAACTCTCACCGTTATTTCATGCGTATAGTAGTCCCCCATTCCTGCATAGTAACCGTAGAAGGACTCAAAGCCACGATGGCTAGGTGTAAGACTCTCCTTGAAGAACCCCAGGTGCCACTATAAACCCCATTGAGGAAAAGATAGGATGGATGGAGGAGGGGGAAGGGGGCAAAGGGGAAGGGGGAAGGTGGAAGGGGGAAGGGGGGGGGGGGGGGGGAGAGAGAGGTGCAGGATCGGTGCAGAGTGTGGAAAGAGAAGATGTAGAGCAGGGGAAGAGAAAGGACAGAGTAGAGGTGCAGTAGGGTGGAGAGTGGTGGGGTGGGGTGGTATAGGGGAGGAATGGGGGTGGAGTAGGGTGATATAGGGGTAGAGAGGGGTAGTATCGGGAAGAGGAAGGAATATGGGTGGAATAGAGGTGGAGTAGGAGTGGTATAGGGGTGAAATAGGGATGGAGTAGGGGTTACATAGGAGCAGAGTAGGGGTAGATGAGGGTGGAGCCAGAGTGGGAGAAGAATCAGGACAGAGAAAGGTTGGTGTAGGAGTGAAATAGGTGCGGAATGGGAGTGGAGTGGGGACGGAGGAGTAAAGTAGGGGTGGCAAAGGGGTGGAGTAGGTGCAGGATAAGGGCGGAGTGGGTGCAGAGTAGGGATGGAGAAGAGGGTGAGCTTGCAGGGTGGGGGCAGGGGCATCGAGGGAGCAAGGTATGTGTATGGGAAGAGTCGGGTTGGAGGGAAGTTGTACAAGGAATTGAAGAAGTAAAAGGGAAAAGACAAGAAAAAATAATTGAAAGTTAAGTAATCCCACAAGTAATACTAGAACCTGCAGGCAGTCTAAAGGTTGTCCACGCTGAATATGTCTTCTTGAAAATAATCATTATTCATTCTGCATCAAAGACAGTATACTTTCTATCATAGGCCTATAGCTACACAGGTGGAAGTACTCTTTTCAAGAGGACTAACAATTCGTGAAGCGCATCCGCAACTCTTGCATTGACTATTCCTACATGCACAGAGTTAGATTTCTCCATGAGATATTTGGGGCTCATTTGTACCTGTGCTATCTCTGCAATGGTATATTGTTTGTTTGTTTAATCATATTCTGCATTTTTTATCATAATAAAAAGGTGCCTATACATACATATATATATATATATATATATACTGGTATATATATATATTAACAAAAGTAAAAAAACACACATATATAATCATATCATAATATAAGTCAATTAAATAATTATGCCTTTCACAAAACACAAACCGGTAGTTGACAAATTTTAATGTTGAAAAATGCAAAAAAATATTCTCAAATTGGTCCACTTACCTTTCCTACCATATGCGTCCTGTAGCCTAGCTCTCTGAGGTACTGAGGCATTAACTTCTCCTCCAGCCCCAATCCATATGGGTGGGATACTCCTATAACTCCATGTTCTAGACCTACAATGAAACAATCAAAGGCATCGTTTAACAAACTTAAGCTCATGCACGCCAGCTATTCTCCAATCCTGATGACGGATAGTCAACCTGTTCGAAACGTCGAGCCACTCCTGCCACTTATCCTCTCCAAGCGCTATGGTTCTCCTTAGAACTACAGTGTATAAGCTAAGAGAGATAACCAACAGTCTTTTTAAAGACTACACAAACAGTCCTTTTCAGGACTACACACCCTCAAGAAAGATAACCGAGAGTCCTTTTCAGGACTCCTCAATCCTCTCTCTCTCTATCACATGGTGCACCCGCAAGCCTACTGTATAATGTTAAATCTGAGATGGATGGCCCTACGTGTTATCAGTGTTTGTGATATGGTGTAATATTAAAGCCCTAAAAAAATTGTGCTTCAAAATGATCATCAAGTTCTTCAAAAAAGTAAAAATCTTTGAGAGACCAGTTTTACCATACTCATTTTCTCTAATAGACTGTTGTTATGAAAACGCAAAATTTGATTTCAATTTCCAATCATAAATATCTTGATAATCAGACAGGCGATTAGCTTGTATATGTCATGGGATTCATGTATGCCCTAAATTGCAGTATGAGCTAAATCAAAGATTTTTTTTTAAAGGATCCGAGACAAAGTTACCGGATCCCTTTAAGAGACATCACCAATCCCATTTGAGCAAACTGCTGCAAGTCTTAATTTGCTCTCAACTTATTCAGGATACGTGGAGACCTATACAATGTAACAATTAAGAGACGAAACAAAGAATGAGTTAAACATCCCTAGTCCCACCCATGCAAACTCTTGTAAGTCTTATCCATTAACATATTCTGAGTATGTTGAAGACCTAAATATAGAGACCAAGAAACAACAAAGAATCATTATTATATCAACTTTGTGGGTCTTTGCAATAAACATTTTCAGGACATGTTGAAAACCTAAACAGAGACCAAAAGACAGGGGGAAAAAAAGAATGATTTTGATATCATCAGTCCCACCTATGCAAAGTTGTGTAAGTCTTTGCCATTAATATAGATTCAGGACATGTTGAGACCTAAAAAGACACCAAACGACAACAAATAACTTAATAAGATCTATAGTTCCAACAAAGCAAAAGATGGGTATTAACCTGGCCTTTTAGCCGTGGGTTATCAGTTTTTGATGGGAACTGTTTTGCACGATCTGAAACTTTGGTAGAAGAGAATGATGAACAGTCCCCTGGTCATAATAATAATAATAATAATAATAATAATAGTAATAAATAATAATATGGGTTTCTTGTATAGCGCTCATGTCTGTCATACTTGACACTCCAGGCGCTCTGCAATTATTTGCCCGGCTTATATAAGCATGGCTGCCATCACAGGCCCCTCTAGCATTTCAAGGAATTAATTCCCGCCAGGTACCCATTTACATCACCTGGGTCGAGTGTGGCATATGGTAATTAATGTCTTGCCAAAAGACATTAGTCCCGCAGCGGGACTCGAACCGCTGACCTTTTGCTCCAGTCTGGTGACGTTATCTACTCGACCATGACACCTCCATGGTTCCATTTGACCAATCAGATTGCCTACATTCTTGAACCAGTACGTCTTATGAAAGGGTACCTGGCAATGCCCAAAGGGAGAGCACCCTTAATAGACTAAATTCCATTACTATCAAACCTGTGTGTATGGGATGCTTGCCGGTCATGATGGCGCTTCTCGTTGGCGTGCAGATGGGTGACACATAGTAGTTGGTAAGAATCACGCCCTCTTGTGCCAGGGCATCAATATGCGGGGTCGGGATCTGTGAAGAACCGTGGAAACTGACATCGTTCCAACCCTGCAAAATTTAAAATATCATAAAACATCAGCACGGAACCAAAATCGAGCTTGGGTTCTGTGCGGGCATATACCTACTGTCTATTTACAAGTCCCTTTTTTTTTGTCAATTAAGAGTGTTTTTAAGATTGCTATATATTTTTGTGAAAGTAATATTTAGAGTTCATATCTTGAATATAGTTTAGCAATATGGAATATTATATGTGTGTAATTTGTACACTTTAACAAAAAAAGAATTATCATTTTCAGAAAACTACCCCCTGGGGCAACTACCCTCTAGGACGACTACATCCCTAGGACAACTACCCCCCTGGAAAAACACACCCTAGACAACTACCCCCCTGCAAAAACACATCCCAAACAACCACCCTCTAGGACTACTACCACCCACACATCTACCCCCTAGGAGATATACCATCTATGGCAACTACCACCCAACTAATCAGACAATAACCACTTGGGGTAATTATCAATCAGGGGGGGGGGGGGGTAGTTGTCCTAGAGGGCGGTTTTCCTAGGGGGTAGTTGTGTGGGAGGTAATCATCCTGGAGAGTAATTGTCCCTTGGGGTAGTCATCCTAGAGGATGGTTGCCCTAGAGGGTGATTATCCTAGGTGTGGTTATCCGGAGGGTGGTTGTTCAGGGGATAGGTGTCCTAGAACCTCCAACATATCCACAAGACCACGATTCCTCTACACATTAGTACCATGTCGAAAATAGAACGGCAAACCATGTGGTCAGATTCTGAAGACGTAAACATCTCTACTCACCAGATCATCTGCTAGAATAAAGATGATATTTGGAGGCTGGTCTGTGTAAACACGCTGAAGCATACAGCCCATAAAGAATGCAAGGACAGCCACCTTGAACGTCATCATCATCATCTCCTCACTTCACATGAGCTCTTTGAACAGAAATACGCTTCAATCTAGATCTGACTTTGCAGTTTCATCTGAAATTAAATAAACACAATATTGATAAAGCAGAAGAAGAACAAATATTTTTGTACGTCCTAAACACTAAACTTCCTTATTCAGAGCCTTTGAATTCCACCCACTTGCACAGCCCACACGCAGGGGATTTACAAGTGATTGCATTCACTTTTATGTTAACATGTATTTTTTTGTTCATATCATTTACTGATAGTATAAAGTACATACATTTCATTTTGAAAGTCCTTGGGCGGTACTCTGAGAATCCAGACAAAGACTCTCCCACTGCACCCTTTCCGTAAAGATAGAAGTGGTTCCCAATACCGGGACAACCTTTTGTTGTATAAAATTGGAGAGTGTAATTTTGTAAAGCTTCTAACAAACACTCCTATGGATCTTTTATAATTTACACAATTTCTTACTGTCTGCTGCCTCGAGATCATTGGAGCGAAGAAATTACCGTAGCTATCCATATTCAGTGAAGGATTAATCCTTTTTATGCAGACGGAGCTCATAATGCAAAGCTTTACAAAGTGTTGTACAGGTACAGTGCGTTTCAAACTCAAAAAAGTGGGCATCCTTCCATTGAATTTGTTGTAAGTATACATTGCACTTTAAAAACGAGAGTACAATTTAAATAATAATAATAAAAATAATTGCATTTATAGGGCGCTTTATACAGGCATTTCTAAATGCACAGGTGGTACTGTCTAACTTAGTATAACTATTCAACATGTTCAATAGCTTAAAGCTTATCTGCCATAGTTTACAGGACGGATTAGACCGCCATACAAGGTCACTGGACAGGTGGTTTTCTCATCAACTCAGCTCTCAGTTAACATAAGAAAAAGAGGATCATGGGGGACCAATGGTCACCGATAAGGCATTGTTTGTTGTATAGAGGGCGCAAGTAGCTACAAGTAGTGCAGTGGGCCTTTAAAAGCAACAAAATTGTTCTCCTACTGAATGAGATGGAATGCCTAATAGACTATGAGGGATTTTTTTGCTCTTTAAGAAGAGCACCGATAGGGGCACTCAGGCACTGCAATTAAAATTTCAAAGGATGGATTATACTTTTTATCGCTCACGACGGCTATCTAGAATGTTCTGAATTGCCATACTCAAGAGCGTCCTGGGGCTCTGCTAGGCCCCCCAATCTCTGCCATGTTGTACTGATCCATTAGAAAGTAATTTAATAAGCCCCAATAAAGAGCACATTTTTTATTTTTTGAGGGTCCCAAAATTTGGCTGATCGATATTTTGTTCGTTGAGGGGGGGGGGGGGGGGGGGGGGTAAGGTCAGCTTTTAATATTTTTTAAATTTTTAATTAAGAAAATTAAAAAAAAAAACAAATTGAAGGGGGGGGGGGGGTTCCTTCCTCCAAAACACACACATAAAAAAGTTTAAGGGGGGGGGGGGGTTAAACCCCTCCCCCCTCCTGCATATGCGCCTGCTACTACTAGCACTGTAGCATTGCTCAGTTTTAGTTTTAATAAAACTAAGATTTTAGTTTTATTTTTTTAACTGATGACATATGTGACTCATGCCTGATCGATGTCCGACATTTCATCTCTTCCAATGAAAAGGTTGAACATGGTGGCCTGCGTATTGTTGTTGAGTGTTACTTTCTAGTTCTAGTAAAATTAATCACCTCCTGCTCCCGAATGATGTACATTAATCACAACTGTAAACAATTACAAAAACACATACAATTATTACAATCCATCAAGAACGAATTGAAGTTAGCTAAAGCTTACCCAAAATATAAACTCAGAATGATGTAGGCCTACACACAACTTCAAGGTAGGTATTGGTAGGCGCGTACAAACATGTATTGGTGCCACGCATGTCACGAAACCAATATCCAACTATAAATGCATTCCAGCCTGCCAAATCCAGCCTTAATTTAGTGCTTTACCTGTCTTCTTAACTAGACAATGCCCTCCCATAGCTCATCAATACACCACTGCACTGCATAGCTGGATCTGTGGGATTAAACTCAACAGGATTATCAACTGTAGCCGGGGATTAGTCTATGACTAAACTCGATAATCTGGCTTAGCTTAAAGTCACATAGAAGTGAGCTCTCATGGGGAATTTGACACCATTCGGGCGTTTACCCAATAATAAGGGTTAGCCTTGAGTTTTATGACCATTATACCTTATGTAATGCTACGCTTTTCTTTCACCCGAAGCTCTCCGAGCGATAAGGGGGTAATTTTTGATGGGCCAACGGGTTTGCGGTGTGCAGATTTGTACTCCCATTAATGGTATTTCCACGAAGTCTGGTGTCAGCGAATTATAGCCTGCTGTACATGAAAACTGCCGATCCAGTCCCTTTAATTGCAGAATTAATAATACCCTAATCGGAGGTAGCATTAAGGGCTGGCTGGAAATGTTTTTTATGATATTGTATTCCAGATCCAGCGAGCTTTATTAAACGCACACATAGGAGCATCACTATCCTGGCTGTGTAGTAAAAGCTGTGCTTTTGATTAACAACATTTCAAACATGCACTGGTCTGGCACTGTACAAATCTCAACTGATTTCACTCAAAATCGTTACTTTAGTGACAATTGATGACACCTAAATAGCAGTAAAATAGATTATTTTCAACTTACTGATGTTAAAAAGAATCATTTAAAAATTCAAATTGTAACTGTAAGTCTACTGTCAAACTTTGCTTACAGCCGCATCGGCATGATTGTGTGCAGTCTTTGAGCGCGTTTATCTAGGCTTGCCACTAGATATCTACATATCGTACCCCACTATCGAACCCCACTATCGTACCCCACTATACGATCGTGATTTGCGGGATGTCGCGTTTATCGACCCTTCACGATTCAAAATAAAGGCCTTGTGTCTGCCCAGCCGTTTTGACCCGGGAAGCAGACAGTTTCTCGGAGGTCAACTTCACACGTATGCTTGTACACAACACCTGGGTGATCATATTTGTATGTGAGGTTCAAAACAGCTTTGCGTTTATCGATCTCTCAGAAACGTGATTCTGGCTGTATGTCACATTCAAAACGCACCTTTTTGCGTCTTTAGATATGCCCATATCTAAAGACGTTTGAAAAAGGCTTTGCGTTTATCTACTTCTAAATTTGCCTAAAAGACGTTTGAGAAACCTGATTCTAGCCAAAAATTTGCTAGATAAACGCAACCTTAGACAGAAATAACCGACTGGTATGGGTCATTCTTTAATAAAACTGACATTTGTTGATATTCTAGTGGAGCCAGACGTAGTCTCAGTGGAACAACCGACGATATGTAGAGACTGAAGCTTTTGGTCTAGTGCAGTCTTAGACCGAAAACTTCAGTCTCTCTAATCGTCGGTTGTTCCACTGAGACTACGTCTGGTTCCACTAGACCTCCGATTATAGATGTATTGGGGAATGACAACAAATGTCAGTTTTATTAAAGAAATGACCCAAATCAGATGGTTATTGCTGTCTAGTGCAGTCTATGCAATATGTTCTAGTTCTAGTTCGATCCTCATGATCCTGCTATTAATAAGTGCTAGTGCTACATGTCAAAGTCTGCATGATATGTGGAGTGTATATTTGAGTATAGATCGAGGTCTACCTGCGCTGGAGTGATTAAACGGCTCCCATAGTACTAGACAGCAATAACCATCTGATTTGGGTCATTTCTTTAATAAAACTGACATTTGTTGTCATTCCCCAATACATAATCGGAGGTCTAGTGGAGCCAGACGACGTAGTCTCAGTGGAACAACCGACGATTAGAGAGACTGAAGTTTTCGGTCTACCATAGTACTAGACCGAAAGCTTCAGTCTCTATACCGTCGGTTGTTCCACTGAGAAAACTGTGATAACGCCATTACGAACGTGTAGATGGCGCACAGTTTTTCCTTCATAATCATTTTTGCCTTCGGCGTAGACTAGAAGGGATGAGATTGACGGCAGCGAGAGTTTAACACGGCTTGCAAGATTTTCAACATGGATGTCGATTTTGACCCATAATTTCCTTAAAAGGGACCATTAAACGGATTATTTCAATCAAGTTAGTAAGTGGAACCGATGTATTATAGCCTAGGCCTAATGTAAAATTGGATATGCACAAGGTAAAATGACATTTTGGGGGATTTTGGGGGCATAACAATACGGCCGTGGCAAGTTTGTTCATGTTTGTGGGAGGGGCCTAACGGCTAAAATCTAGCCGTGATATCTTCAACATAGGCTGGCATAGGCGATCGTTCTGTCTCTATAACCGGAGGTCTAGTTGAGCCAGACGTAGTCTCAGTGGAACAACCGACGATATAGAGACTGAAGCTTTCGGTCTACCATAGTACCAGCCCGCAGAGAAGCGAGTATTACAAACCCTAAAATAACCCTTGAACTTTGAAGTAGACCTCGCCTCTCAGACTAGGGGTCGAGTCTAAACAAACCCTTAAAATGTGTGTCCCAAATCACACTTCCCCGCACCCGACCAATAATATTGGACAGTGACCTCGATACATTTATTTTTATGCCACTTCTTCACCTAGACTATCTGCCTGCTTAAATTACAATTTGGATGACAAAATCACGAAATATCTTACCAGACTAATGCAGCTTCTTAATCTTAGCTCCCGGTCCCTTTTCACGTGTAGCGTGCATGTGTGTTTGCAATAAGAGTCTGTGCCCGCTAAAACGTAAACAACAGGTCAGAATATCACGTGACTTGTGAAGGTGACGAAGTCATGTGACACTGATGCATGCAGCACAGGCATAGGATAGAGGCTAGACACTACTTACTTACTAGACACAGAGCTGAGCTGAGATCGAGCTCGGGATAAACGAAAACAAAGGGATAACTCCAGCTCCAGGGCACGGATCGCTGGTGAAGAAAGGTAAATCTAACTGAATCTGTATTTGAATGATAGTTTAGGTGAGAAGATGAGATCGTCTAAGGCAGCGGCTAGCTAGCTAGCCGTATTAAAGCGATCACGGATTCAGCCTTCTTAAGAAGTTCAGTTTCATTTTTACGCAGAACTAGGGCAGGCGCAGGCCACACATAGACCTCTAGGCCTATAGCTGCATTACTACTATCCTGGCTGTGTATCAAAAGCTGTGCTATTGATTCTCAACATTTCAAACACTTCTGTACGAAACTCAACTGATTTCACATAAAAATGGTACTTTAGTGACAATTGATGACACCTAAATTGCAGTAAAATACAATTTGTTCAACTAGGGTCTATTACATACATGTACATTACCGTCCGATGTAAAATAATAATTAAAAAATTCAAATTTTACAAAAACTATGCACTAGCTCTGACAAGAGTTTATGATGCTGGTTCACAAAAATATCAGTTTTTTCGGTTTGCCAACTTGATAGTTACTTTATAATAGCGATTAGTTTATTGTACTAAGGCACACGCACTGAGTTAGCTGAATTTAGCAAACTTCATTGTTGTGCCTTTTTAAACAAATTGCTATATTATAGCCAAGAGAACAAAATAAAATAAACGTTGCGTGAGCACAGCAGCCTGTCATCAGCATGCTTTGACACTTTAATGTATTTTATTTCTATTTTTCTTTCATATTTTCTTTATGCAGGTCTTCAGCTAAATTGCTTAAGAGTGATTAGAACTGCATGATTTTGTTGAAATTCATGCCAAGCTGACTTGAGGGACATGCTTTCTAAGATGTTCAACTCGGCCATCCTTACGTTTTTTCTTCTTGGCTGTATGCTTGAGTGTGTGTATACCGCTCAGCCTCCAAACATCATCTTTGTTGTCGCAGATGATCTGGTGAGTAAGAGGTCTTCAACGCCAATATGATGTAAGCTTTACGGTCCACCAATGAACGACTATTAGTATTCTGGGTTTAGTCTCCAGTCATTTTGTCCCATACATGCATTATCAAGGACATTTAAGAGGTTGGTGGGGTATTCTGATCATTGCATTTAATGGTTTTTGTGTACACTGTAGAACGTATAAAATCAATTTAATAAACCTTTACTTGACACTCTGGAGGTAACAGTTAAGGAGTGTGAAAAATTGGGGGGGGGGGGTATTTATTTGAATATTATCTCTTTGTTTACAAGATTTTGGCCTGTATTATCTCTCAAATTCCATGCAGGGTTGGAACGATGTCAGTTTCCACGGTTCTTCGCAGATCCCGACCCCGCATATTGACGCCCTGGCACAAGAGGGCGTGATTCTTACCAACTACTATGTGTCGCCCATCTGCACGCCAACGAGAAGTGCCATCATGACCGGCAAGCATCCCATACACACAGGTTTGTTTTACTGTGATTCCCTACCGTACATGCTTTTTCTTGTCTCACCAGCCGAAAGTCGATGCGAGACTTAGAGATCCAAATGTTATCTGTCCATTGTCCCTCTCAAAGGTTAAAGTTTCAATTTATCTTGTGATCCAGGATGCTGTAAATCATAAACAAAATCCCTGTTCTCTCATATCGTAATTCATCTACTCTCTATATTGAAAACTTCAGTCCTGCAGTATGACGTTATAGCAGATGAGTGCTATACCCCTACGTAGCACAATATTTCATACAGTGGAACCTCATTATAAAGGGCTCTGATATAACGAGGTATCCGTTACAACAAGATTTAAATATTCTTTTTTTTTTTACCCAGATGTAACAAGATTTCTGTTACAAAAAGGGTAATTCCCATAGTCCAAAGGACCTCGTTATAACGAGGTTCCACTGTAATTGTAAAAGAAGTAAAAGAAATATTCATATTCATATTCATATTCAACATGATTCATAAAAATATTCTTGATGCTACTAAGGTATGATGTACTTGCTTTACTTGCTAAACTTCACTGTCAAACACTATTGAGTGACTGACTGGCTTTTTTTCTTCTTTGGTAAAAACATACATAAAATGAGCTGTAAGGGTACATGAGCATTTGTCTACATCAATAACCCACTTCTTGTGATGGCCAAAATTAAACTGATCGAATCTTTGCGCAGCATAAAACGTATGACCATTCGGTACAATGGTCTGAAAATCAAGACTATTACTTATTGGCTCTATAGCTCCTAAGTCGATTTTGACAACTAATAGTCGTTATTTTCCCACTTTACATTTTCAAGCCCCACCTTTTTTAGGGAAGTTCTTTCAAAGTTAACCTTTTCATTTTTTTGGCCTGCAAATGGGACATAGTACCTTTAAAGGCATCATATTGTAATTAATCTACATTTTTTGTCCTATGTTGCAAACTTTAGGCCTGCAGTACTCGGTTATTATAGCAGACGAGCCCTATGGTCTTGGGACCAACGAGACCATCATGCCTCAGTATCTCCGGTCTTTAGGATACCGTACACACATGGTCGGAAAGGTAAGAGAAATCTATGCTCATTAAAGGCCCGCTGCACTACTTGTAGCTACTTGCGCCCTCTCTGTATTAAAGAATGCCTAATCGGTGACCATTGGTCCCCCATGATCCTCTTTTTCTTATGTTAACTGAGAGCTGAGTTGATGAGATAACTACCTGTCCAGTGACCTTGCAGGGCGGTCTAATTCCTCCTGTAAACTAGTACTGATAAGCTTTAAACCATCGCCTTAGTGACAGTTTTGTATTATCTTTTGATCCGTAATGCTAGGAATTACACAATATACATGAACAGAGAGAACAAAAATTACTGGATGATAACATAACTTAAATTTCTAGGTATTATAGGGCTCGCACGAAACCCAAGTCGTCTTTGGATTCAGTGCACGCCCTATTCTATACATTTGTCTTCCTGTGCATTATTAAAGTAGTCTACTCATCAAGTCATTTTACAGTTTGCTGGGAGTGTATTTAAACCGCAATATCTCTTTGTAGAAATAATGTTTGAAGCTCATAGTTTGTCTACAGTTTAGCAACATGGAACCCCTTACATCAAGAGTAAAACATATTTTTCAGTGGGTTGTACACTTCCACCCTATATTGTAAAATATGACCGTACCCTGTATGTGTCTTCATATCCACGCTTTTCGTGTGCCACAACAATGCTTGTCCCCCTAAACCTGAACCATCCACTATGGTGATAGAGCTTTGCGCCATGTCGCACCACTTTTGTGCAACAAACTATACCTTGTACATGTAGTATCAGAAATAGTATCTTAAAATTTTTAAAATGAAACTGAAGCATCTTCTGTTTACCAAGAGCTACACTAACTAATTTTGTGTATGTGTTGTATAACATGTACATGTATTTTATTTAACTTAAACTATGAATGTAATTGTACCATATAAACTTTAGTATATTAAAGTGTTTGTTTGTAGAAACAATTATTGTAGTGCCTTGACTGGCTTATTTTGTCAGAAAGTGCTGAATAGAAATCTATATTATTACTATCTTATGTTATACTACACATTATCTATACACTGTATATTTTGTTTATCTGGGTTTGGGGTTTTAGTGGCATTTAGGGTTTTACAGCAAAGAGCATACACCGATCGAAAGAGGATTCGAGTCGACGTTTGGCTATTACCTTGGGCAACAGGACTACTTCACCCATGAAACTCAAGTGAAAAGAAAGGTAGTGGATTTGAGGCCTGAAAATGCTTCGGTCATTCCCTTTAGTTCATGATTTTTCCTTGCATTTGCATGTACACTCAAAGCTATGCATGTGGAGTGTCATTGAGAAGGTGCATGGTTCAAATACAATAATAAATAAGGATCCAGAATGCAGGCTGCGTTCATCTGATGGCATTCAATGGAGCAAATGGCGGCTTGCAATCCTCTCCGAGGGACTTGGTAATGAGGATTAATGCCTCACCAAAGGGCAATAGCGCATTGACTTGGTCCACACCCAGGACCTCCCAGTTCTGAGACCACTGCTCTACCACTGAGTCATCACCCCTCCATGCACTTTCTCTTGTAAAGCCTTGAGTGTGCATGCGTCCAATTTTTGTAAAGCGAGGAATAGGGAATTGATTTTAATGTTTCTATTCTCATTTGCTATCTCTTCCGTGGCAATAATAACACATCCATGTTGAACATTAACCTGGCCTGGCTGCATGCCTGCACCACCCTACTGACTACTCACCTACTACTACGCACCTCACCCCACCCCCACCGTCTTCTAACTCAACCCTTGCCCCACCCAACCTGGCATCCTATCCTCAATGGGGACTGCATGCTTTATAGTGGCATCTGGGGTTTTTCAAGGAGAGTCTCACACCCAGTCATCGTGGCTTTGAGTCTTACTATGGCTACTATGGGGGAATGCAAGATTACTTTACGCATGAATCCACCGAGGTAAGAGCTTCGCGCTCACTAAAGCACATTTTGCACTCGTACTAAAAAAAATTGTGCTTGTGCATACATATTTCGCATTCATACATGTATGCATGATTTCGCACCCATACACACAATACAATACAATACAATGAACATTTAGGGCGCCATTCCCATAAGGCTCAGAGCGCTAACATCAAATAATATTATTGGTCTTTACTACATTTCACACACATTTCGCATTCAGCATTCACACACATTTCGCATTCATTCGCACACATTTCGCACTCACACACACACACACGTTTCGCATTCATACACACACATTTTGAACTCATACACACACATTTTGCACTCAAACACATACATTTTGCACTCATACACATACATTTTGCACTCATACACACACACACATTTCGCATCCATAAACAAACATTTTGCATTCATACACAAACATTTCGCATTCACACACAAACATTTTTTCATACACAAACATTTTGCAATCACACATGCACAGAATGCATGATGGCTCAGTGGTAGAGCAGTGGTCACTGGGAGGTCCTTGGTTCAAAACCAAGTCAATGCGCTTTTGCCATTGTGAAGGCTTTATTCTGCCTTACCAAATCCCTGAGAGCCTCAGAGCTAGAGGACTGAATACTGTAATAATAATGAAAATGTTGTAGATAAACCAAACTGTAGCCAATTCTTTTTCATCATTTCCGTTCATTCAGCCCATTTTACTCTCAATTATATTTACTTCAATCTGGTCCGTAAAGATTTGATCACATCCACTTGCAAAGCTTGCAAAAGATATCATGTAACATTTCCGTATATTTAACTTCAACAAATAAAATTGATTTGAATTGAATTAAAGACATGTGCTTCACAAAATATGAGATTTATATACTGTATGGTGAAGTTGAAGTGTAATGATGTTTGAAAATAATTATTTTCCCCCTCGTTTCTACACAGCATACATTAACTGGGTTTGATTTTCATGTGAATGGATCTATCTACAAGCCAGTGTTTGGACAGTATTCTACCGAGATCTATACAGAGAAGACCCAGGAGATTATTCGTAACCATAATCCCCAAGAGGTAAGATTTTCTTAAACTTGTATGGGTGGTATTCTTGAAAGCAGACTAACTCTAGTCATGGTTTAATCCACCGACTGAGTATGGAATGCCAAGTGTCCATGTAAATATGTTTTTGAATAACTTAATCTGTCACTATATTAAAATAAACTGTAATAAAATTAATAAACAACAATATAACTAGATGTAATTATGTTATCATGGTAATTTAGGGACATATCAAATTATTCAAAAATATGTTCACATGGACACTTGGCATTCCATATTTAGTCGGTGAATTAAACCATGGACTAAAGTTAGTCCACGTTCGAGGATACCACCCATAGAAGTTCTATACAGAGAGGACCCTGGGAATAATTTGTAACCACAATCCCCAAGCGGAAAATTTGTCTTAAACTCATAGGCTCGAATTCACCAAGGAGGTTTGTCGACAAACCGAGGTTTATGTACGTCATATGACGCGTTTTGACACGTTTTTTACAAACCTGGTTTGTAAATAACAAAATGAGGTTTGTCGAAACAAAAGGAGGTTTGTCGACAAACCTCCTTTGTGAATTCGGGCCATAGAAGCTCTATACAGAGAGGACCCAGGAGATAATTTGTAACCATAATCTCTAAGAGGTATACTTAAACTCGTAGAAGGTCTATATAAAGAGGACGCAGGGGATAATTTGTAACGATAATCCCCAAGATGTGAGAGATTCTCAACCAATAGAAGTTTAGTGTCTCCTTTTTATGACTTTAAAACTATATCTTTTGATCTTAAAGTCTAGAAAATTACATCTCACATGAGCAAAAAGAACAAAAATCACTATAAATTATGAGTCCATTTCTAATGTGGTACATTGTGCCATTCATGAATAAGCAAGATTTAATTATATGTATAATGTAATCATTACATGGTCTAGATTAGCAATGCGGTGCGAAAGTTAAAATCACTCTTTTTGCACACATAGTGGCATTTTTAAAAAAAATTAATAGATTTCCACTCACATTGGTTTATTTTGTTTACAGTTTTTTGTTGTTGTTTAACTATGTACAAGTGGAAAATGAAAATAACCATTTTGTTGGTCCATTGTGCTCTCAGTCTTGAAGCCTGTCAGTCTCTTGACCCATTTGTCAAAGTTGGTCTCCTGGACTGTCGATCTACTAAGATGACCCCATTTAAAGGAATCCGGTAACTTTGTCTCAGATTCTGAAACAAAATCCTGGATTTAGCTCATGCTGCAATGATAGTTATAAACCTTTAGGGCAGTCAGGAACCCCATGACTTTTACAAGCCGAGCGCCTGTCTGATTATCAAGATATTTATGATTGGAAATCAAAATTTAAAAATTTGATTTCCTAACGTTTTTTATAACACTACAGTCTATTGGGGGAAAAGACTGGTAAAACCGGGCACTCAAAGATTTTTACTTTTTTGAGGCACTTCATGATCATTATGAAGCGCAATTTTGTTAATGCATCAATATTACACCATATCACATACACTGATAACACGTAGGTCCATGCATCTCAGATTTGACATTGTTAAACGATAAAGAGAAGGTTGTGTAGATTGAAAACTAATTTGGGAGCTTTCTCATTCTTTATAAACTATTTGTCGGTTCGAAGAATGTCATCCAGTAGAAAGGTGAACCCGGTAATGGCAAAACTCAATATGGATTTTATTTTAGTATCGTGATATTTTTATTTTATCTGAATATTGTGTTATTTAGCACTTTATTATAACGTACTGAACGCTTTAAGCCACTTCTCTTTTTGCCTCTCACTATTTTGTTCAGCCTTTGTATATCTACCTAGCCCACCAGGCGGTACACAGCGCCAACTACAACGGCCAGAGACTGCAAGCACCCTATAAATATTACGAGAGATTCCCTAACATCACCAATGAAAACAGGAGAAAATTTGCAGGTACACACTGTGAAGAAGCTGTTGTGAAATCGCGAGTTGTAACAATTATTGTCATTATTGTTATTGATATTACTATTTTTGATCTGATCCAATCTGATCCATATTTTGAAGCATTTTCAAACACAATAGTTGATCATAAATGTTTAATAGTTCATGAATAATATTGCAGGCCTTAAATTTCAATACTTTTAGGGCAAGGCCACTTTTCTGTAGGGCACATTCCTATATTACAGCACAAATAGGAAGAATTGGAAAGGGCACAAAAAATCTCCAAGGCCAATGAGAGGGGCATTGAGGCCAATCAAGGCCTTGGTGGCCTTGGATTAATTTAAGGCCTGATATTGGTTGAGAATGAATATTAACCTGTAGCTAATTTCCAAACCTGTACAATCATAGTTTCAAACCTGTCGCTGTTACATGTTTAAACTATTGTGGACAATATTGTGTTACATGTAAGATATGGGGGACAACTTTATCTCAAAAATCTTATTTCAGTCCACCTTTATGAGTATGAGCTTATGATCTCTTTAAAAAAAATATCCTTTTGTCTTTTATTAATTGTCCCGTTGATAGCCATGGTGTCTGCCTTAGATGACTCTCTCGGAAACATCACTCAGACTTTAAAGGAGAGCTCCCTCTACAACAACACCGTTATAGTTTTTACGACCGACAACGGGGGACCCGCTCATGGCTTCGACGCAAACTACGCCAACAACTGGCCACTGAGAGGAGTGAAGGACACGACATGGGAGGGCGGGCTTCGTGGCGCGGGATTCCTGTGGGGCGCCCTCATTGAGAAGCCAGGGAGAACGAGTGATGGGATGATGCATGTATGTGACTGGGTTCCTACGCTGTATGGCTTAGCGGGCGGTAATACCAGCACGCTTCAACATCTAGATGGTATTGATGTCTGGCCAATGCTTTCAAGGTGAATAGCCCAATTCAATTCAATTCAATTCAACTCAATTCAATGCATTCTAACAGTAAATTGAATTGAAATTGATTGAATTGAATTGAATAGCCTAACGATTGGCATTTGAGATTGTAATTAGTTTACTGTTTAAGTGGTTACTTTCGCGGTGTTTCATTCTCGCAAATTTCGTAAATCACTAATTGATGAAGTAGTGCAGCGCAGTTTGATACAACACTGATCATAATGGGGCACTTCAATAGATAATAATCACTTATTTCTCCTGAAATAATTCTTATATTACAATGGTTAGGATAATCAGTATTGAGTTCATGATCCATGGAAGAAGAATGATTATGATTGAAAAGTAAAAAATTGATAGTGGTTGTGGCTTTACGTGACTTTGTCCATGAGCTTCTGATCCGCAAAAATTTGTTTATGCATCATCACTTTTGTTATCTCTATGTTTATTTTGTAAATCATTTCTACCATTGTCTGATTGTTATGTTTTATTTGTACAGTCAAACCTGTCTATAGCGACCGCTCAAGGGAGACACTAAAAGTGTTCTTTGTAGACAGGTTCCTTTGATACACATTTCAATGAGAAACCATTTTTAAGGGAAACAAAAAATGTGGATTTTGTAGACAGGTGGTCTTTATAGACAAGTGGTCTCTAAAGCAGGTTTGACTGTATTTGAAATCTAACCTTTTGGTTCCAATAAATATGAATAACACAATACATTGTATCGTTTTACAGAGCGGAACCCTCGCCTCGCAAGGAAATTCTGCACAATATAGACCCTGTGCGCAATGTGTCTGCTATACGTATAGGAGACTACAAGCTTGTACAGGGTCAGAATTACAATGGTTCGTGGTCTGACTGGTATCCACCAGAAGGCGAGTCTTCAGGTATAAAGTCTTTTTCCAAGATTTAAGGCACATAGAAGTGGGCTCTCATGAGGCCTGTCCTCATCAGCTCGAGTTGGCCAAATAGCCCGCTATTTCTGATTCAGGAAATTAGCCCGATCACGAAATAGCAGGCTATTTGGCAGGTGAAGATGCAAATAGCGGGCTATTTGCTCAGGAAATCTTCTCAAGATATCTCGAGCTAGTTTGCAATATAGCTTGCTATTTGTCCGGTCCGTCTTCACCAGCCTGAAGATTTGCACTGTGCGCGAACACTGAGCAAATTTCTAGACCTTTAGTTTCGAGCTGATGAAGACACGATTTGTAACTTCGGGCTAATTTCCCGAATCACAAATAGCGGGCTGTTTGGACAACTCGAGCTGATGAAGACAGGCCTATGGGGAATTTGACAGGGTTCAGTTGTTTACCCAATAATAGGTGGTGTCAAACACCAGGATAAGCCTTCAGTTTTATGACCAACAGGCTTTATTATATGCTCTGCCTTTTTCCCCATGAAGTAAAGTAATTATCTGACATTTGCATGACCCGAACACTCTCCAAGAGAGCAAGAGGCGAGGGGGTGTTTCTTGATTAATCTACAGGTGTGCTGTGTGCAGACTTGTACACCCATTATTAATGGGTGTACAAGTCTCGGTGTACTTGGTGGAAATACCATTACCGGTAATGATTAAGGGTATTTCCACCAAGTCTGGTGTCATGGAATTATGACCTTCTGCACATGTCATATAGTACAGATGATTCATGCACAAGAAAAACAAAACAAACATCTTTATAGTAAATGAGAGATTACAACCAAAAAAACGGACAAATAATATGAATGAGGTGGTGATGTTCTAAACATTTGGAGAGATACCTAAACAGGTCTAACAAGAATCAACCTGGATATGGATGCAGTATAGCGTGTGTAGTACTAATAGTCATAGTGGATTCATGCGCTATTTTCTAAATTCTAATGAAATTTAAATATGGTAACAATGGTAAGTGTGACATACGGTTCATGCAAATTTCAACAAACTTTATTGCCTTCAAAAATATTAATATTTTCATCATCCTAGTATTTCAAGAGATTCTTCGAATTCTAAAATGCATGAGCAGGAATGGTGTAAAGCACAGCACCTCTTAGATCGATTTCTGTTGCACTAGGTATATATTTATACTATTGGTAAATAATGCATAAAATATAGAAGAACATTAAAGCTCTACTGCACTACTTATAGCTACTTGCGCCCTCAATATAGCAAACAATGCCTAATCGGTGCCTGTTGGTCCCCCATGATCCCCTTTTTCTTATGTTTAATTGAAAGCTGATTTGATGAGATATCACCTGTCAGTGACCTTGCAGGGAAGTCTAACCCCCCTGGCCAAATTAGTGCTGACAGGATTCAAATAAGCAATACAATGAAGTGAATGCATTTAGTTGTTGCCTCCACAGATTGGCACTTTTGTGTCTACAGCCTGCTTTTTAATATTATATAGATGTTTCTTCACTCCTTTCTAGTCGATGTGGATTCTAAACCAGTCCCTAACGCCTTTGTCGTGAGCTGCCCGTCTAAGCCTGCCAATGCCTCTACCAACTGTGATCCCAAAGAGAAACCTTGTCTGTTCAACATTCGCCATGATCCCTGTGAATTTAACAACATAGCTGACTGGAATCAGGGTAAGTGATAGTAAACAAATAATGAATAATAGATATGAGTTCAATAGTGATGATGCCTCGTTGAATAGAACGTTAATCTTACAACTCATGAAAATATTTGCACTATTGAACGTATGAAAAACATTCATTATTTGTTTTATATATAAGATCTAAGTACATCTATGTAGATCTTTGTCATTTGCTTCGAGGAAATTATACGGAAAATAAAATTGTAGGCTGAATATAACCAAAATGCATGGCGAATATAACCATAAAATGCACGCTCGATGACGTAGTCATCCAATAGATTATTTATTGAATATCATGTGATCAACAATCCTCTAATCAAATGACAAGGATCTACTCATATTTTATATAATATATACCATTTGATTTTGGCCTGCCTATGCCTATACTGACTGTAAGCCTGTAGGAAACCCTCCAGAAAAAGAAAAATCAACTTTATATTGTTGACTGATCACCAAACGATTTTAAGTGTACAGGTGTAAAGTTATGTTGACAATTTTTTATGGCATTTCGTACGTTTTTTTATCCCTCTTTTCACAGACATTGTTGAGCTGCTCCTGACGAGAATTGAAGAGTACAGAGCAACGATGGTTCCCATTAGGAACAAGAAACCTGACCCACAGAGCAACCCAAAATACCATGACAACTGCTGGGTCCCCTGGATTAATGATACAAAAACATAAATTATAGTATAATATGTCTGAAGTATTCTTTAAGATTTTTTTTAACTCATTTATATTTTGATAATTTAAAATTTGGTAACATATAGTCTACATGTAGTTTATCCGTCTCCTTTTTGGCTAAATCCAAGACATCTGGTTATCTTGTGTCCCATATGGACTTTGCCAAGTAATTTGAAGTTCCAAACACGAATTGACTTCAAATATGTAACTTTACTTCATACTTGGTTTGATCTTGGCTTTAGTTGTGGCTACTCACTTAACCCCTTGTCTATGGGGGGGGGGGGGGGGGGGGGGGGGGTCTCTGTGTTAAGCTAGTATGTGATTGAGAGAATTCAGTATTCTACAGGTTAGATATGATCAGTAATGTATGAGATGGAAAAGTTTTCAGTTAACCACTTGTTGCTGTTTTTATGATGAAGCCTCACATTTCTGTATCTTAACACAGATATCAAAGTGAATGGTGCAAAACCACTGTTAAAGATGAAGTTGAGTTCTGGTCATGCGATTGCATTGTGAAAGAAACGGTGTGGAACCGACCAGAAAAGGTTGATCATCTAGCATATAAGAATTTGTGTGTACGGTATTGCAAGGTTCTGGAATCATCAAAATGATAAGAAATTTGGCCAAGTCTTGGTAAAGTTACAAACACTGTACACAGAAAGATTTATATGGGACTATACGAACACGTGGCGTAAAAAGCCGGCCCCCCCCCCCCGATTTTTACGATGTTCAATATTTAGAATATGAAGGCATTTGAAGAGCCATGCTTTTCAGGGAACATGTCTTATCTGATGTTCTTCCACACTTGCATAATACGAATGAGTAATGCTCACAAATTATTTTTCACCTCTTCCCAGAACTCAACCTTCTCTTTAAGTGTAGTTGCCATTCATAGTACAATCATGTTAAAAAAAACTTTGCGGTTTATCGCTTCATATCGAACAAGCTTTCAGTGTTTCAAATTATGGAAGTACATGTATTTGATTTGTGCAGTATCTCTTGTAAATATGAATTTCTTCATGAATATTTGTAGTGGTTTATTGAAAAAAAGATTATCAAGCATTTAAGCTAAATTATGACATTGTTAAAATTCATATTGTACATGGCATAAAATTTGGGATTATATTTTTGTACTATGTTATGTGATATAGTGAATATGAAATTGAAAGGACTGGCTCCTATTATATATCATGATGTCTTTTTACCGATTCATTGAGTGTTTTATATGTTGGTGAATATTTTTTCAATTGGCTTACTACATGTATCTTTCCATTGGGTTTTCATTTCTGGTCGGGTTGTCGGGTTACATAAACTTGCATGAATAACCAAGCCCTCTTTATGAATAGTCAGGTGTTACTTTTGTGAATTACATCCCTGTAATCTTCAAAGTGCCGGGTCCAGTTTACCAGACACTTTATGACAAACTTACATTGAATCTACAAAAAATTTGTGTCTCAACTTATCATCTTTTCATATGAGATTAATAATCACTAGAGTACGTAATAAAGGCTGGTGATCAACACATTTTCATTGTAAGGGTATGTTGTCACATGACGCATCCCAACCTTTTGTATGTATGGAGGTATGTCTTCATGAAAGTTTGTGTAACTTGACAATTAATTAATTGCTCGTCATGTCAATTGTGTAAGTTATTATATATCCTACTTCTGTTCCTTTATTTTTAATGCAGGTGCTTCAATTTATATGATCCTTTTTTTTCTTTTTTTTCTCAAGTGTGACTTGATCATTTGATTTCAAGTGGACACGGTGCCTTATAAATCTCATATATTATTATCATTATTATGCAATTTCGTCTTTGTGCACAAAACAACTTTTCGACACTGCTGTGCTATGATCGATCTACATGTAGCGCAAGATTTTGGATCGAAAAAACAGACAATGTTTTAAAAAAAAAAAATAATAGTAGGAAGCAAAAACTTTAGTTAAGTATAGGGCTTCTCAAAGTCTAGACCGCCCAAAGGCAGGAAGCTCTGTTTTTGTTTGTTCTAAACAATAACATTATACAAGTGCGATTACCAGTACTGTAAATTTTAGGACTCCTAAAATTTACAGTACTGGTAATCGCACTAGCTTGTCTGAACATTTGCATCAATGTCTTTTTCTTGTAATCACTCCATCTGTGCCAATGTCTACTGGTTTAACCAGAGCAATATAACACTGATTTCCTATAGGAAATCTATTTATTCAAATGGTCATATCTCAGCCAGTACTTAACATATACAATTGGTTTTCGACATTTGGACATTATTTTTGATGCTCTTTCGGAAAATGAAGAAACACTTGAGAAATTCTAAAAATAGATTTTGGATGACATCATCACACTTCACCAGCTATATACCCTACATGCATACCAGAACTTTCACTTTGTTAACTCTAGAAATGAAGAAACACGGTGTAAAGACACGTTTCTCACAAACTTATATGTATGGAAATAATTGATAAAGCAAAATATATATTTGCCCATTTGAGCTTTCATGGAAATCACATCTGGACCGTCACAGATAAAGTTTGAGAACCCCTGGTCTAGTAAACCAACGAATTCCATAATGGTATCAGTTCATATTAGCTCATCTTGGGGCCTTTTTACTACGGTATGTATATTTGTGCATTGTGTCATAATGTCATGTTATGTTTTTCCAATTTTTCACTGATTTTCAATGTAATTATTTCCTATTTCAATGTTATGCTTTTAATGTCTGTTCATACATGATTTTAATATAAACACAATTTGTAAAAATCCCACAATGATATTCCATGTCATTATTTAATGAAATAAAATTTACTTGAATTTAATTGAATTGATAAATTTCTCATAAACAGGGTAATATTCTTTTTTATTTTATTTTTTATTTTATTTATTTATTTATTTATTTATTATTATTATTATTATTTTTTTTTTTTTGGGGGGGGGGGGGGGGGGCTGGGGGTGGATTTCCCACACTCTTCTATGTTGGCGTTGTATGACAAAGGGCAGCCGGTATGAGTTGTTGAACAAATAAGGACTTTCATAAGAAAGGGACATATTTCCTCTAAGTTTGCAAATGTAGGAATGCCTATATGTATAAAATTGGGTACTTTGGAACGATTACTTGATAAGCCAAAGTTACATTTAGAGCCCATTTTGTACTCATTTTATATGCAAAAGGGAGTCCTATTTTGCAGAAAACAGATCTTGAAAGTATTGAAAATAGGGGGTGTTGTTCACTGGCGTACCTATGGGGGGGGGGGGGGCAGGGGGGGCAGAGTGCCCCTCCTGACGGGCTCCAGGGGAAAATAGAAAAAGGGGAAAGAAAAGAAAAGAAAGGGAAAGGAAAGAAAAAGAAAAAAGGAAAAGGAAAGAAAAAAGGAAAGAAAGAGAAAAAAGGAAAAAAAAAGAAAGAAAAAAGGAAGAAGAAGAGAAAAGGAAGAAAAAGGGAAAAGAAAAGGAAAGGAATAAAAATGGGGAAAAAAATGAAGAACATGGCCGTAAGCACCGGGGGGGGGGGGGCAGTTGACCCCAGATATTTTGAAATCGTACAGTTTTTTTCCTGAAAATGTAGTGTAGGCCTATACCAAATCCTTCAATTCTACTTTTGAAAATGCAAAATTACCCTCATGACCAGTTCGGTCGCTCGAACTCCCTTCACTCCTTTTGCTTTTGAGATTCTTCGAAAACTTTTAACGCATCTTTCTCCCTTCCCCCATCAGAAAAATATTCCGCATACGGCCCTGAAAAATTAAAACAAATGAAAATAGGAAAATATAAGTGATATAACTAATTTGAAACTCTTCGCTGGCGCGAACTGCTTGCTAGCCTATTTTGTATTAAATATTTTCACTTCCTCGTCCCCCTGAAAAAAGAAAAGGATTAGTATTGCCTAGAATACAATTGTGCCTGCCCCAACGGGCCCCGACCTGCAACCATGGCAACAATAACACACAATATATGTACCAAATGTTACTAAAAGAGACTAATTCATTTTTCTCGCTCGCTACACTCGCTCGCGAATAAAATGAATAGACATTGCTTTGGAAACAATTGTGCCCACCCTTGACCTGCAACAATATCATTAAAAATGGAAGAGTTTTTTCGCCCTCTCGCCAAAAAGGAATTGAATCGCGTTAAACGCGATTGCGTCCATCCTGACCTGCACCAATAAAAACAAGTTTATTTATTAATTTCTATTAAAAGAGAATTTATTTGTTTTGCTTGCTCGCTATGCTCGCTCGCCAAAATGGAATTGACACCGCTAACGTGCCCGCCCCAACCTGCAACAACCAATTAATAATTATGTACGAAACGTTATTCAAAGAAGTTTTGGTGTGCTCGTGCTCGCCAAAACGGAATTAACATCACCTTAGACATGATTGTGTAAGCCCTGCCCTGCAACAAAAAAATCTGAAATTTATGAACCAATTATCATTACAAAAATTTTGCTCGCTCGCTACGCTCGCTCGCCAAAATAGAAATAACACCGCTTTTAATAATCACGTCCCTGACATGGAACAATTAAACCAAGTTTATATACCATATTTTCCCTATAAAAAGAAGTGATTTTTTTTTGCTCGCTCGCTACGCTCGCTCGCCAAAATAGAATTAACACCGCTTTTAATAATCATGTCCCTGACATGGAACAATGAACCCAAGTTTTATGTACCATATTTTCCCTATAAAAGAAAAGTGATTTTTTTTTTCGCTCGCTACGCTCGCTAGCTCGTGGAATTATATGCCCACCACTAACCTGCTACAATATCATTAAAAAGAGAAATGTAGGGGGTTGCCTGCCCGCCAAAATGGGATTGACATTGCCTTAAACACGATTGTGCCCGCCCCCTACCTGCAACAATGAAACAAATTTTATATAGCAATTCATTGAGAGAAAGATGTATTTTCGCTCGCTATAGCTAAAATGGGTATAAAATCACCCTAAACACAATATTGTTCCCGCGCCCTGCATGGGACAATTGAACCAAGTTTAAGTGGCAATTATTAAAAAAGAAGTGATTTTTTTTTCTTGCTCGATCGCTACACTAGTTTGCAAAAAAATGAAATTAACGTCGCTAACAAGTGTATGTTCCCACCCCCAACTTGCAACAATACCAGTTTATATACCAAACGTTACTTCAAGATTTTTTTTTTGCTCGCTCGCTCGCCAGAAGTGAAAATTAGCATCGCCTTTTTTGTTTGTTTCGGTCGCTTGCCCCCCCCCCCCCCTGACGGAGTACCCCAGGTACGCCACTGGTGTTGTTTACTCCACAAATGATCGTTTGAATGTGCAAAAGAAATGCCGGGGGCTATGGATATATATGTTGTGGTCTAGTGGTTAAGTTCCAGACTGAACCACAAGGGACAGGGTTCAAATCCCAGATACAGCACTAACTTTCTTTGGCAAGACATTTAATCTACATTTGCCACACTTGACCCTGTAATGTAGCTGAAACTATATACCTCATTTTGTGGTCCTAATGGAAAATTATTTTCTTGTATTATTAGACATATTTGAAGATGTTATTGTCCTTTAAGCACCAGCAGGGCATTAAAAAATACACTTTGACTCGGGGTTAGCTTCTTTATGACTATTTTTGTATAATATGCTACTTCAAAAGTATGCATTATAGTTTTACATGAATTACAAAGTATATTATAGGCCTTATACTGTGTATCAAATTAACAAAAAGATAATATATACATATTTCATTCAATGAATTCAAGAGAACATGAAAGGAAAATGGGTGCGTAAATCATAAATGAGGCAATTAAGGAGGGGATCGAGAGCTACACGTAGATATGTGTGAGAGAGAGAGAGAGAGAGAGAGATGTGATATATAGAAGCATGGAGAGGGAGAGAGAGATTTCTGTTTCAATTGTGCATCATTTCCATGCAATGCGTGCGACCATGGCTGTAAGTGTGCCCTTCCCCCCCCCCCCCCCCCCCCCCCCCCCCCCCCGTCGCTCGAATCGACGTGCTAATATAATGCTAAACCCTGACCCTAAAAGATTTCATAAACATCAATCATGCCGGGACAACTCGGGCCCCGTATTCGGAATCGTCCCCGGGTCCGAGTTATCCCGACTCCCTCATTGAGCACCTTATCGGAGAGAAGTGAGTGTCCCGGGTGAGTGTACACAAAGACGTTTAAATATAATTACTAGACGGAAAGCAGCACGCGCGGAAACCATGCAGACGAATGGGATTAGGCTCCGCCTCTTTTGGATCATTTGAAGACAAAATAAGCACCCGAGGCGGCTTTTTGATTGGATATGAGCCTCATGAATATGTATTTTATCGATAGTATCGTTTAAGAAACCGGATAATATATTTGACCTCATTGCGTCACTTTAATTATGCAGATTTATGCACGACGCAGGCTACTCGCACAAACTGAGAAGATTTTAGTTCATTGAGAATGGGTGAGTAATTGATTGAAATATGAGTAGATTAAGTGAATTTAGTCATCAATTTTGAAAAAGCTGCAATAGTCTTCGTGATCTACGGTAATTTCGTTACATTGTGAGACCGTTCTCAACAGATTTTTGGGGAAAAGACTAGGAAATTATTGCTCTTGAAATTGAACTTTGATTTTCATCGTCATGAAGTAGTTTGACTGCGGTTTGCCGTCATTTCACCCTAGTACTCCAGTTAGGGGCCCGGCCGTTCCGCCAGGCCCACACCGGGGAATTTCGGTGCTCATCTGCATCAAGATCAAACTTTCTAATCAAGTTTTATTTGAGATTTGATCGTCATCATGAATCTAATTCACCAATCATCGATTTAATTTAAATATAGATTTACCGTTACACCTTACAATAATCTCTGAAGCATGATTTTTTTTGATAATCCAAGTGGATTAATTCTTGTTAAAATCTTTAGTAGATGTTGACTCTGATGGCTTTACTTATCAGTGCCATCCGTTCGCTCAGTTGCATCCGTGTCAACTTTATATAGACCAAAATTATCTGTGACCATTGATAATCAAACAACTCCAAATCCTATTTCATTTAGATGTAAACCTGGAACTTATTAATAAAAAGTATTCAAAAAACATCAACACTAGGATTTGTTTATTTAATAATTAGATTTTGTGTGCATGGGTCCAGCATGCTTGTCAAGTTATCATTATAGTCTAGACCTTGACCTTACTAGAGTCTACTAGATCTAGATCTAGACCCCTATCGGTGGCGTACGCAGGATTTTTTCAAGGAGGAGGGGGGTTAACATTTTGAAATCGGACCAAAAATTTCGCAACGACTCAGCCAGCCACTGAATAAGCATTGGGGGGGGGGGGGGGGGGGGGGTTTAGGTCATCCATTTGGATTTTTTTTGTATTAAAAAAAAAAACAACAACAACAACAACACTAAAAAAGGGGGGGGGGGTTTCCAGAAAAAAATGAAGGTAGGGGGGTTTACCCCCCCCCCCCTGCGTACGCTTCTGACTCCTGTTATTACTTTATTATTAGAGATTTTTTTCTTTGAATTGTGCAGTTCATGTTGATAAATCTATTTGTGTAAGAGAAGACCCCTTGTCCACAATTATGTTTACTTATGAAGTCCACTTCTTCTTGTCTTAATAAACCAATTCTACTTAAGACTACTTTATGTTTATAGGCCATATAAAGCACTTTTTGAGGCACAAGTTAAATCTTCCATTTGATTTTACTTTGAACTGTGGTCCATTAAATTGGAATGTTGATTTCCACACTATATTAAAATTAAGGCCAACCATGACATGAAAAATAGCTTTTATGCTAGATCTATTTTTATTTTGTTAAGGAGAAAGGGACGCCTTGATTGTCGTATTGATTTTGTTTTCTTTTTGTTCCAACAGATGGAAACTGATGAAGAGCTGGAAGGAGCTAACTGATGAGTAGACATTACAACATTTCTTATATTTTCAAGATGAAGCTGAAAGTCCCATGCAGGTAAAATTTTCAGGATATTTAGCACACAAATATTAAACGACCACCTATTAATTCACTAAAAAGGAAATGGAACTAAGTGTATGTTTCAAGTATGTATAATGGAGGGAATATTTTATTCTAGTTCTTCCCTTTCTTTGTTTACAAAGGGGTTTGTCCTTATTTACAGGAGGTCCTGTGTGTAGAAGAACGATGTCTAATGCACATTCAATAAAGCACTACATAATAATGATAATGATCATACATGTAGGGTATACACAGGACCCCTCATTACTTTTTTTTGTAAGTGGTCCATTCACTTCTTGAGCAATGAAGATGAAGAAGAACACAACATAAGATTAACGAAAGTCTGTTTATACGATGAATTATGGTTGATATGTATCTATTATTATCACTTTTTAATTGAAGTACCTACATTGCTTTCTCTTATGTAGGATGATGCTTCTCTACAGTGGATGATGAAAGCATGCTGATTACAAACCCAGGAGAGGAATAAAGAACAGATATTGACAGAATCATATCTAGAGATGTGGGCCTACTGCACTTCATACAAGCAAGTGTGCTAATATACCATGTAGGTACCCCCAATAAACTATTGTAGAACACATTTATCATGCAGAAAGTTATAGATCTGACAATTATATTTTTCATTGTCCATTGACTTGTAAAAGAATACTTGACTGAATATCACAATTGTGATTTAGATTAAAACTAAAATGTCAATATGCATGAAATATAAGCATACATGCCAACTGTTCAGATTAAAGAGGAACATTCCTCTTTTTGGGAGAAGATAATTATCATTTTAATGCAGGTGTTCCTCTTCCTGTACAAATTTGTCTGTAGTATTGAATAGGAGAGTTAGGATTGTTCCTCTTTTTTTTTTAAATAGCATAATTTGTACAGATTTCTGATTTTCAAATGTTGGCATGTATGTATAAGTCTACATAACGTATGTTTCAATAGCATTATTTCCTGTACATTCTCTGTTCCAAGTTGTTTGGTCATTTTATGTAAACCGAGTACTATTCATTTATGACCATGAGTTTACATTACAAGTACATTGTACATGTACCAGTATTACTTATTTCATACTTGTCTGATCCAAGCTCCATCAGGCCTATTGTCTTAATGGGATCATCAGAAATAATCTAACATGTGGTCAGTAACTAGTTTTGTAGGAAAAAAAGTTTAGGTTTCCCACTAGAACCCCAAGTGAATATTAGTCCTTCCTCTTTTTGTCAGAGCAGGTATCAGGGTGTATGTTATTAGTTGTTGTTTATTTTCTTATACACTGTATCTTATTTCATTTTTCCATTCAACAGACTTGGGTTATCATCACAGCCCTTTCTTCTGAAAACTAGCCTACAACTTCATCGATGAATGCAGAAGACATCTACATGGGACTACGTCTTAAAGATGCCCCCTCATATAATGAAAGAGGACAGTAGAGATGGGTTTAATCTTGAATATTTACATACTATTTATTTATTATGTTTGTAGAATACCACATTTAAAAAAAGCTAATGAATTTATCATCTTGTCAACTTTCAAATAATTAAAGATAACTAATCATCAATGAATAAACATTAATGACATTTTAACAATGTCAACTACCATCTTATAGGATGAAACTGAGTGCTGGGCAGAAAGAAATTTCCTTGAAATTTGAGTGATAAAGATTTATCAGTCTATATCAAAGATTGAATCAATCAATGATATTTATAATTATAATTATACATGTTGAAATTCATTTACCTCAGTCTATGGACTTCTGTATTTGAAGTTTTGTAGATTATTACATTATTGCTGCTTCAAGTATTGTATGTAAGAAGGTTTGAAAGCCGACCCTCTAAATGCACTAAATATGGAAACTGCTAATCATCATTGCCTGTTGTATCCAAACTGCTAATTTAATAGAATCATGTTTTGATACTTCCTAGCTTAAGAAAACAGGGGGGGGGGGGGGGCTTGTTATCCTCTTCCTGGTGCTGTTTCTAAATGGACCATGTAACAGGTTGCAAAAGTGTAAACAATATTATATTTGTTATATGTTTATATTAGAAGGATTTAGAAAATGAAAACGTTTTGAATTATAGAATTACTGTTGCTAGAAGTAATGGCAGTATTGATGTGTAAGGGAAGGGGTGGTTTTCCCAGTGAAATTAACGGTATACCAATGTCAAATTGATAAAAAAGAGAAAACTATTCCTAAAAATAAAATTATAAAGGACATGGGCCTCCCAACTAACTAACCCTGGTACCACTCCTGGTTTTTTTTTTTTTTTTTTTTTGGAGGGGGGGGGGGCGCCCCAATTCAAAATTTCCAGTGTTAAATTCCATTGTCTTTAAACAAAAAATATGTCAAGATATTGAAAAACAATGTTTCACTTTCCGTTTTCAATTCGAATAAAATGATTAACATATTTTCCGATCTCTCTGGTCTCTACATTAAAAATGTTCAAAGCTCCTGCAAAGGCTGCAAAAAGGAAAAGTGAAGATAATCCAAGTGAAATGTGGACAGTAATGGAGTGAATATGGATCAATGGTTGATCGTAGTTGATAACGAGTAAATGTAAATGAATGGTATTACGACTGAAAGTGAGACAGAAAGGAACTGCAACAGATTGTTCAGTCAAGACAACAAACCGTTAGTTGCAGAAGATAATTTACGAAAGACAGAGAAAGAGAGAGAAGGGGAATCATTAAGGTACGATGAGAGTGGGTGGAGAAAAACCATCCTCTTTGCCACATAATTTGTTTGTATAAAATAAGGACACTTTATACATTAGCATATTTAACATGTATAATCATAGCCAGAGAATGTGTTGTTATATGGCTTATAGCATGTTTGAGTTAATAAAACAAAAACAGACCCAGTTATTGATAGACTAAAAAGGGAATAAGATCGGATCAGTATTTCTTATTCAATGAAGTTAAGGCCACTCCCCCATATTAAAAAACAACAACAACACAACAACGAGAGGTCCACTTCCCGATGCATTCTGGGTACACCAGCTGTTATACTGGTGATCGATAATACAAGTTCGAGCGCGTATTTCACCTAACGGTGATCGCATCAGAATAGTCCACACTGATTCGCTGAATCACTTGCGTTGCTAGCGCGCAGCGTGATGAATAAATTACCCATAATCCCGTACAGTAGATTATTTGACCTCTCTAATTACGCTGATACGCGTATTGTCTTGTACCATGTAGTGAACATCATTCCAGTACACGTTTCGTGGGGATCATCCTACAGAATGCATAATTCATAGGGCTCATGAATTATGCAAGGGGGCTTATTTTGGCTTCTAATGGATCCGGACAAAATGGCGGAGCTTGGGGGGCCTGAGTGTACACCAGTCTTGTTTTTGTCCTGTGCACGCGAATATAAATTCTCACACGTACGGTATGGTACGGTACACGCGTGCAGGACAATGTTGTTGCTCCGATGTTTTCATCACATGTTGTGGGACAGTGCAAGTAGGCATCAGCAATGTCGTCGCCGGTGTCGTCGTGGGTGAGTTGACCTCAATTATTTTTAACTTATCCATTATAGACCGGCTGTACTCCTTTTGCTTGAGCCTTACCGAGTCTTGATCTACGAGAATGCAGTACGAAAGCAGCCGTGAGCTGATCTCGACTCTAGCACGCTAGCTCGCGCTCGCATGCACTTCATTTGACTTGCGGTCACACAGCTGCATTACTATCCTGGCTGTGTATTAAAAACTGTTCTATTCAGGCGCGGATCCAGGATTTCTTAGGGGGGGGGGGGGGGGGGGGGGGGGCGGGCCGGGGGGGGGGGCCCAAATTTGAAATTTTGTGAGCCAAATATTGGTACGTAATGGTGACTAACAGTGACGTAATGCGGGGGGGGGGGGGGGTCAGTGCAGGGAGGGGCGAGTTTCCCCTCCCTCCTCCGCGAAACGCGGAAGCTTTGACGCTTCATTAAATTATTACAGAAAGAAGACGATTCGTTGTACCGTTCTCGAAAAAAATTCTCGTCTGAATTAAGTTTTTCACCTCCCACGCGAAGCGCGGAAAATTTCACGATTTATTATTAGAGAAAGAAGACGGTTCGTTGTAGAGTTTTCGACTCTTAATCCTCGTCTGAATTCAGGTTCCCCCCCCCCTCCGCGCGAAGCGCGGAAGCTTTTAAGTTCTTTCAATCATTAGAGAAAGAAGACAATTTGTTGTACCGTTTTCGAAAATAATCCTCGTCTGAATTTAGATTTTCCCCCTCCCGCGCGAAGCGCGGAAGCTTTTACGTTTCATTAAATCATTCGAGAAACAAGACGATTCGTTGTACAGTTCTCGACTCTTAATCCTCGTCTGAATTCAGTTTTTCCCCTTCCGCGCGAAGCGTGGAAGCTTTTACGATTCATTAAATCATTAGAGAAAGAAGACGATTCGTTTTACCGTTCTCGACTCTTAATCCTTGTCTAAATTCATCCCCCTTCCCTCCCCCTCCTGCGCGAAGCGCGGAAGCTTTGACGTTTCATTAAAATATTAAAGAAAGAAGACGATTCGTTGTACCGTTCTCGACTCTTAATCCTCGTCTGAATTCAGGTCCTCTCCCCCTCTCGCGGAAGCTTTTAATTTTTAATAAATCATGAGAGAAAGAAGACGATTCGTTGTACCGTTCTCGAAAATAATCCACGTCGGAATTTAGTTCCCCTCTATCCCGCGCGTAGCGCGGAAGCTTTTATGTTTCATTAAATCATTAAAGATTCGTATTATAGTTCTCGCCTCTGAATCCTCGTTTGAATTCAAGCTTTGACGTTTCATAAAATTAAGAGAGAAAGAAGACGATTTGCTGTACCGTTCTTGATTCTGAATTTCAAAGATATCCTTTGTCTGCTCCTTTTGCTTCCTACGCCCCCCCCCTGGCTACGTGCCTGCGGTCCGATAAACACATTTTGATACCTTGTCCGACCCCGCAAGCTCAGGGGTTTAAGGCAATAACTTACGGTCAGGTAAGCATTCAGGGGCCCGCCTTAGGGCCCCTGGTGGGGTCGAGACGGCGGAGCCGGCCCCGGAAGCTCAGGGGTTTTAGGCGTTTAACTAAGGTCCGATGAGCATTTTTTTTGTATACCTCTGAATCCTCGTTTGAATTCAGGTTCCCCCCCCTCCCGCGCGCAAAGCGCGGAAGCTTTGACGTTTCATAAGATTAAGAGAGAAAGAAGACGATTTGCTGTACCGTTCTTGATTCTGAATTTCAAAGATATCCTTTGTCTGCTCCTTTTTCTTCCTACGCCTCCCCCCCCCCCCCCTGGCTACGTGCCTGCTGTCCAATAAACACATTTGATACCTTGTCCGACCCCGCAACCTCAGGGGTTTAAGGCAATAACTTACGGTCAGATAAGCATTCAGGGGCCCGCCTTAGGGCCCCTGGTGGGGTCGAGACGGCGGAGCCGGCCCCGGAAGCTCAGGGGTTTAACTAAGGTCCGATGAGCATTTTTTTTGTATACCTTATTATTTTGTGACACTGGCAGGACACTATTGGCGTGGGGTACAGGGGGGCAGAGCCCCCTAAAATCAGGGGTTTTAGGCATTAAAGTACCGTCAGATGAGCATCTATGGGCCCCCGTAGGGCCCTATAGGTGGAGTCCGTACCTCGGGCCCTGACATGTAGGAATCTCAAGAATCATATTTCTTGCCTGGCTGTAAATTTAGGAATTTGTCATTTTCCAACAAACACATACAAACGTATAATTTACTAAAAAGTGAGGAAAAATCTCGGAAATTAAGTAATTTCAGCATTATTTGTAATCCACCGTTGTGGAATTAGAAATAATCCACGTTTGAATTTGATTTCCCCCAAGCCCCCCCCCCCCCCCATCCGTACGCCAGTATCTCCTCTTTTCCTTTTTTCTTTCCCTTTCCTTCCTTCTCTCTTATTTTTTTGATTAGGGGGGGGGGGGGGGGGGTCAACAGCCTGGGAGGCAATTAGGCTCTTTCGGCCCCCCCCCGATCTCCTTCTTTAACCTTTTCTTTTTTCTTCCTCTTTTTTCTTTCCCTTTCTCTCCTCTTTCCCTTTCCCTTCCTTTCCTTTCTTTCTCTTTTTTTTTTTTTTTTTTTTTTTTTTTTTTTTTTTGCGGGGGGGGGGGGGCCAAGGCCCGCTCGGCCCCCCCCTGGATCCGCGCCTGGTTCTATTGATCATTCTCAACATTTCAAACACCATGTGACCATGCACCACTGTACAAAACTCAACTGAGTTCACTAAAAATCGGTACTTTTGGGCCCGGTGGGGTCACTCAATGTGACTTCCGGACCGCATGACCGTTACCAAAATCGCGGAAAAAGGGGTCAATTTCAAGCAATGTCCGCGGACAAAATATTCCTCGAAATATAGAAAATAGGGGTGCACAGGTGTCCTCGAAATTGATAAATAGGGGTCAGAAAAAGGGAATAGAGAAAACCGGGGAAAAAAATGCTCGGAGCCGAGTCTTGTCCTTGAAATATGGTAAAATAGGGGTAAATTTGCGAAAGTGTCCTCACAATCTTATAAATAGGGGTATTCCAAAGTACGATTTTGTCCTTGTTTTGACGTAAAAAAGGGGGTTAAATATCACAAAATTTCCTTGAAATTGACCGCAATAGGGGGGTATTTGCATTTGTGGTAACGGTCATATGCGTCACCCTCTGCGGAGGAGTGACCCCACCGGGCTTTTGGGACAATGGATGACACTAAATAGCAGTTAAATACAATCTTTTCAACTTACCGATGTTAGAATATTTTGAAAATTCAAACCTGGAGTTTAGACCTAGGTCTACTGTCAAACTTGTCGATAAGCCATTTTGTATTCATTGTGTGCATTAGTGTTCAATTGCGTGCAGGGTATGTATTGTGTGTAATTGCTGCCTCTCAGCAAGTAAACAGCGCGAAAGGTCAATACGCATTAATTAGCATTGATTGACTATGCTTTGCTGGAGTGCTTATTGGTTTAATCTGATTAACACCCAAAGAAGACACTCACTGGCATCAAAAGTTGGACGGAGGCGCGATTTCAGCACTTGCCCCAGGCGCTGTTTCTATTAGATGCAATTACCTTTTCGTTTGTCATGTCCACATAGACGATGTAATTTCAGCGATTTGCGCCATGCACAGGTTGTCTCATGTCGTCTGGCCAAATTTGAGAACCCGGGCCACAATTTGAGGTTCGCGTCAGAAAACTTGTACCCTTTCGTCAAAATTACGTCATCTTGCTATATTGCAGCGTAAATCAAAGAAAGAAAGAGAAAGTGATATTAGAATGATATAAACAAAGAATATAAACATAAGAGAAGGTGAAGGAAGAAACAAAGAATAACATAAGGAAAGAAAGAGAAAGTGATAGAATGATAGAAACAAAGAAGAACATATGAGAAGGTGATAGAAGGAAGAAACAAAGGATAGCGTAAATAAAGATAGGCGAGTTGGCTCGGGCTGTATAAAGTGTCAGCCTGTCGAACCAAAGATCCCGGGTTCGAATCCCATGCACCCAGGCGGATGACTGAAGCCTGTGTTGTGTATTAAAGGGGAAGTCCACCCTGAAATTAAGTTAGTTTTAATAGGAGTAGAAAAATGAGAGAAACAAGTCGGTGAAAGTTTGAGCAAATTCCGATTAAAAATAAGGAAGTTAGGATGTTTGAAGTTGTGATCAATCAGACACAAATTGGCAACTCTATGACGTATCATGCGAGCTCAACTTCCATTTGCTCAGTACTAAAAAAATCTAAAATTTTCATTTTCCCTCAAGAAAAATTTCAACCATACATGCACCCTAAATATAATAATTGCAAATATGTTTCTATACTCCCCCTGCAAGGAACAAATATATATTCCGTCATCAATAACGAAGAAAACATGATTTTATGGAATATTATGCACAAAGCAAATGAAGGAGAGCTCGTATAATAAGTCACAGAGTTGCCAATTTGTATTTGATTGATCACAACTTCAATAATTCATAACTTTCTTATTTTCATTCAGAATTTGCTCAAACTTTCACTCACCTGATTTTCTTATTATTCTGCCTCTATCGAAACAAACTTATTTTTGGGGTGGACTTTCCCTTTAATGTGCCCTCCCCTTGTTCACAGACGCAGGCTATGTTAAGTGGAAAACACTCTGTCCCTTGGATAGGACGTTAAATGAGACCTGTGTAGAGAAGAGTCACTACCTTTGCACGTTAAGAACCCTCTGCACTATTCGTATAAGAGTAGGGGGAAACCCCGGTGTAGTGGTCCACCTGCCCCTGCCCCCCCCCCCCCACTCCGAGAACGGACGGACCCCATGCGTGATACCAAAATGTCCGGTAAAGGGGTACTTTTCGTGCGACAAAGTCCGGCCCGAGAATTGTAAAAAAGGGGGTGTATTAACTTTTCACCCGGAGATTTCTTTAAAAAGGGGGTGTCTTTTCTTTTTTTTCTCTCATCTCTTTGGACTCCTGGGAAATTATTCCGAATTTAGGGGGGGGGGGGGTACATTGACCATTTTTCATGATTTAGGGGGTCTCCAGGGCAGGAAAAGCCTGCGAAAAGCCCGCGAAAGGGGGGTTCGGAAATGTTGGCAGTCCTCAGATGGGTGCTTTCAAAAAGAGGGAACAAGCATATATGCGTACCCTAAATAACACTGAGTGGGGGGAGGGGGGGGGGGGGAGGCGGGCCACCTGCACACACTCTGTAAAGAGGTATGTACTCAAAATGGAAGAAAAGAAGAAGAATGGGAAATAAATAGAATAATAAAAACAAAGCATAACATAAGAGAAGGTGATAGAAGGAAGAAACAAAGAATAACATAAAGAAACAGAAAGAAAAATGATAAAGAATAGATAATGGACAGATAGAAGAGAAGATGAAAGATTGAAAAACAAAGAATAACATAAGAAAAATAGAAAGAGAAAATGATAGAATGATAACAACAAACAATATTAAACATAATGATAGACAGAAAGAGAAAATGATTTTAGATAATGGAAAGATAGAAAAACAAAGAATAACATAAGAAAAACAGAAAGAGAAATGATAGGAAGAAACAAACGATAACATATAATGAAAGACAGAAAGAGAAAATGATAAAGAAAGAAAAGAAGATGAAAGATGGAAAAACAAAGAATAACATGAGAAAAATAGAAAGAGAAAATGATAGGAAGAAACAAACGATAACATATAATGAAAGACAGAAAGAGAAAATGATAGGAAGAAACAAACGATAACATATAATGAAAGACAGAAAGAGAAAATGATAAAGAAAGAAAAGAAGATGAAAGATGGAAAAACAAAGAATAACATGAGAAAAAACAGAAAGAGAAAATGATAAGAAGAAACAAACGATAACATATAATGAAAGACAGAAAGAGAAAATGATAAAGAAAGAAAAGAAGATGAAAGATGGAAAAACAAAGAATAACATGAGAAAAAACAGAAAGAGAAAATGATAGAATAACAAACGAAGAATAACATACATGTAAGAAGTGAAAGAAGGAAATATAGGACAAAAGGGCATCCCGGGGAGGGTTGATACGGGACGTGGAACAAATGATGAAAGTACGGGACGATCCTGTTTATATATACGGGACATCTGGTCACCCTGAATTTTTGATTCTTTGCAATTTTTTTTACAGTGCAGTATCTTTTTCTTCTTCCTCCTTGTGGGCAGTAAGTTATTTGATACCATTAAGGAATATCATGTAGTGCAATGATTTGGGAAGTAATAGATAAAAGAGTCAAACAGTGGACCACTCGACGTTACTACATCATGCACTGTCAGTCTGAAAAACAACTTAAACCAGATGGACTTTTGTTTTAGGCAGCTACATTCTGTTCCAAAATAGAGTGTAGTTGTGTATTTTGGCAAATTAGCTTCAAATTGTTAACCCTGCAGCATCTCTTATTAGATCTTTCCTGCAATTACTAAGTCCCTGAAATATTTTTTGTTCTACTTGTCTCATGAGTATTTTTTTTTCTTCCAATTTCATTTCTCTTCAGATTGGAAGTAATCCAGAGCACATCGTCAATATGTTAAAATACCGCATATCTCCGGCTATATATCTCCCACATATTGAACGTGGAGGTACTCTTCTGGAGTTACTGGACATACTAGGCAAAGATTCCAACAGTGAAGAGAGCGTGGCAGAATCTGAGAGGGACGAAGAAGAACTAGTGCCAGTGAAAATTGAGCAAGAAGAAGAGAAGGAATCAGAAAGTGGTGACAGTAATGACAATGATGTTGACAACGTACTAGTGCCAGTGAAAATTGAGTATGAAGAAGACGAACTTCAAGAAGAAGAAGAGAAGGAACCAGAGAATGGTGACAGTGATGACAGTGATGACAATGATATTGACAACGTACTAGTGCCAGTGAAAATTGAGCATGACAAAGATACAGAGAAGTTGCATCCTGTGGAAACTATAGAGACAAATAAATCTGTAAATGAAGGAGTAAATGAAGAATGGGATCCAACAAATGACATTGATTTTTATGTACAGCTGTTTACTTCTGAAGGCGGTTTAAAAGAAGCGGATGTGACACAAAGTGGTATACAAATATCAGCTTCCAGCATCAGGGAAAAGGGTAAATTATGTGTTGAGTATCGAAACAAGAAGGGAGAAGTAAATGAAAAAGAACAAGAAGAAGAAAACAATGATGAAGAAGAAGAAGAGGAAGAAGAAAATGACAACGAAGGAGAAGAGGAGGTGGAAGAAGAAGGAGAAGAACTTCAAGAAGAAGATGACAATGATGTTCACAACTTAGTACTAGTGCCAGTGAATATTGAGCATGAACAAAATGAAAAGCACAAATCTAAGGATGAGAAGTTGCATCCTGTGGATACTGTGGAGAAAAGGAAATTTTTAGATGAAAGAGAAACAGAAGAATTGGATCCAAAAAATGACATTGATGCTCCTGTAGAGCTGTTTACTTCTGATGGCGGTTCAAAAGAAGCAGATGTAAAACAAAGTGGTAGACAAAAAGCAGCTTCCAGCGTCAGGAATAAGGGTAAATTATGTTTTGAGTATCTACATTATACAGTGTGTCTCTAAAAAAAGTAAACCCAACTTCAACGGCAAATTTTCAGAAAACTATGAAATATTTACACATTATTTTTTCATGGTTAGATAGTCCAATAAGTCCTCTGTCCAATTATATCACTTAGGTTATCTGACGCTCATGCATGACTGAGCATGATTCAACTTAGTGAACTGGTGTCAAATCATCACTGTGGCAAGTTATTTCTTGCTATTGTCATGCATTCAGGGCCTATTTGAAGTTAAATCTTTGTCACATGTTAGGCCTATGATTACATAACAACTTCAGCAAAGGTTGTTCCTAACACAGGCACACTTCACATGCTTTCCAAACATGGTACAGTTGACAATTGAGCAGAGAGTATTCCTGGTAACTCGATACCAGGAAACAAGAAGTTTCGTGGAAGTTCACGATGCTTTTCGGGTGCAGTTCCCCGAGAGGCAGCCTCCAACAAAAAGAGCCATCTGGTACAATGTGAGAAAGTATGCTGATCACGGAACCAGTTTGAACAGGAATAAAGGACACTCTGGCCACAGACGAACTGGGAGGTCTGCTGAAAACATCCAAGTGGTAAGAGAGGCCATCCAAGCCAACCCACGCATAAGCACCAGGAGAAATGATACTGGAATACCACGCGCAACTTTTAACAGAATAGCAAGACTGGATTTGCATCTCCATCCATATCATGTTCATGTTCAGCACCAACTTCTACCAGCTGATTTTCCCAGACGACTTCAATTTTCACAATGGTTTGTGAACCGGTGCAACCGAGATCGACAGTTCCTCCAGTTTTTTACCATCGGGGATGAAGCAACGTTTTCCATGGATGGAATGGTAAACACCCACTATGAGCACGAGTATGCTGAACTCCATCATCCACCGGGATATGCTTTTAATAAGAACATGAGCAGGGAGAAAGTGAGTGTCTGGATTGGTCTTTGTGGCAATGGTTCATTGGTGGGACCTTACTTTTTTGAAGGCAACATCAATGGCAGGGCGTACCTTGACATGCTGAACAATTTTATTGTGCCTGAGATGGAACAGATCTTCCCCCGACAACGACGTGGAGCATTCCGCAGGGCCTGGTGGGCTCAGGATGGGGCCCCAGCCCACAGACTTATTGCTGTGAGGAATCGTTTGACTGAACTCTTTGGCAATCGCATCATTGCTCTTCATTTCCCAGTTGAGTGGCCTGCACGTTCACCAGATCTGACACCATGCGATTTCTTTCTTTGGGGGTATCTTAAAGGAAAAGTGTTCCAAACCCCACCGGCCACAATTTAGGAGCTGAGGCAACAGATAACAGGTGAAGTGAACCGATTACGACAAGATCAGGGAATGATCAGGCGTGCTGTCAGGGACATGAGGAGGCGTTGCGAGCTTTGCATGGAAAGGAATGGCGGTCATGTCGAGGGTACACATCCCTAAGCTATGCTTGTGAGAAATCAGACATTTCCTATGTCATTTGATTGATGAACTTCCAGTGCAATTCTAACTTGCCACAGTGATGATTTCACACCCATTCACTAAGTTGAATCATGCTCAGTCATGCATGAGAGTTACATAACCTACGTGGTATCATTGGACAGAGGACTTATTGGACTATCTAACCATGAAAAAATAATGTGTAAATATTTTATAGTTTTCTGAAAATTTGCCGTTGAAGTTGGGTTTACTTTTTTTAGAGACACACTGTATATTATTTGTATTTGGTACTCTCTTCGTCTTTTTAAAAGCATCCACCTGTACATTCATTGCTTAAGCCTTTGCAGCTTTCACTATTGTAAAGCATGTCATTAAAGTGAGTTTTGCAAACCAGTAAATACAGTTTACAAACTGATATGTATCTGTTTATATACTTATTTACTGAGCATAATTTTATGGTCTTCTCAGAATAATGAATATATGAGTTATGATTTAGATTTTATTTATTATCACAGAGCTTTGAAATGACTTCTATAGTTCAAATGATTAAAGGTAATCCAAAGTTTGGGAAATTTTGAAAATTGGGAGGATAGGGATTCTTTACAATTTTGATATATTAGGATGCCCCTGTGGATGTATTATAAGCACTAGAAAATTTAGCCCCTAAAACACTTCTGCTTTTGAGAAAATTTGAGTATAAAATTTTACCGGTGCTCCCGGTAAATTGTGATAAATTTCAAATAGCGCCTACGGCCGTACAATGGTAGCAGCGACCATGAAAATCTCAGAATATGTAGTTGTGATATATAATTTCCAAACGGGAATAGCTAATTTGTTGATTTTAGTCAAGAAACATTGTTTTATAGCTTCATTAATATCTTGACCTTGAGAGGGAGCTGTACAACATAAAGAGTTTATTTTTTACAATTTCATAACTTTAGACTCGATTTCAACCCTGACAACGATCACTGCATATTGTAGGGTCGCATACATGTATGCTTCCAATATGTTCATTTGAACCACATTCATGACCCCATACCAAAACTTTGTATTACCTTTAAAAGAGTTGGCCAGGGTCAGTTGCAATCGCATATCATAATTAATTTCCAATTGCAATATTTAAATGATTGTTTGTCTGTTACATTCCCAGAATTACTTAAATCACTAATTACAATTTTGTCTTTCCTTATCTGAATTGTATACCCTACAAATTTCATATTTCCTTCCGTTTATCCTTTACCTACTAGGGAAACGGTTCCGAATTACAAGGGTCTGTGAAATATGTTCTGCATCTACTGATGACATGTCAAAGCATCTTGAAAGGACACACAAACTGTCGAAGGAGGAAAGGCAGAAATATCTATTGGCTGCACGGGGCAGGTAAAATGGATTTTCATTTACTTTTTTGTAATTTGTGACCATGTGACCATAAAGAGCATTACTATAGCTGTTAGAATCCATCAATTGTAAGAGTTTTTGTTGATTTAATTGAGAACTAGACTGCTGTGGTAGTCTAAAATCACTCAGTAACAGTACTAAAATGGGTGAATATCCACCTAATAATGAATTTTGTTAAACAAATATTTTATCATGATATCGATATATTGGTACTTGTAGAAATAATTTAGTATGTGCTCTTTAAAGTGACTCGGTAACATTGTTGAAGGTTGATGAAAAAAATTGCTTAATTTTTGTATAAAATGTTACTTACTATATTTCTTCTACTATACTAACCCTCTGACATGCAAAAAATCCTGAAAAAATTCTCAAACCACGAAGATATCTATGGTTTTCTTTGCAGGCGTCGATGTTAGACACCCTCTAACAGTGATTAACAGTAAATTCTCCCAACCATTTTTGAATTTTCCCAACCGTTTTTCCATGAAAAAAATACATAAAACAGGCTGTAAAAATCTGTCAACACTTAACTGTCTGGAATGGAATGTAGAGCCATTTTATTGCTTTGTGACGATTTACATTCACCTAAAATGTAATAATATTGTCCTTGTCTAGATGCTGAGCAGGCTTTGACAAGTAGCAGAATAGAAGTAGAATAATATAGTTGGGAGAATTAAGGAATCGATCAGATCAGTTTTTCCCAATTTTGCCATGAATAATGGTCCGTTTTCACTCAAATTTTCAGATTGTCTTTAATTGTACATCTAGCATTGAAGTCACTACCTTAGCACCATGCACTATCTCTCATCTGAACAATGTTACCCAGTCCCTTTAAGACATTTGTCGTGATATTGTAATCATAATCATGATCATTTTGTTTGTGCTTCATGAGAACATTCAGAAACACACACATTTTCAAGCATGACAGTTTGATTTATTGTATGATTCATTTAATGTTTCACATATTCTTTTTCCATAGAATCCCAATTAGAAGAAGAGCGATGATTGAGAATCCCAGTACCGGTAGAAAGCAAAGCAAAAGAGCAGACTGTCCATTGTGCCAGGGAAAAAATTATACTTCATTACAAAACCACTTCGAAACCAAACATGGACTTGAGGCCAATGAAGCAAAGGAAATCCGTAAGAGAATGAAACAAGGTACTGTAGTCCTTCATTGATATGTTATTTCATTCGGTCTTGCTGTTGCTTAACCCTAAAAAGACACGGTCCATTTGTTATTTCTCTGGAGCAAGCAGTTTCCAGTAATCCTTCCACCTCCCTGGAGTTTCATTTCTCTGCCATAAAGTCAAAATAAACTAGCCTGTAAGGTTTTCATATCCATCTCAAACTGATCTGGAATTATGATAGTGGTAGGATGTTGAATGAATGAATGTTCCATAGGGTGTGGCAGTAATGCAACTGAAAGACTGTGCTGTAAGAAGGTGAATGAAAAGGGAACATGAGCTGGGAAAATGAATATGCAAATGAAGAATGCAAATATATAAATGAATATGTAATAGTGGATAAGGAAGAAAGTATGAAATTTGCTAACTGAAGTGTAAAGACATATTCAAAGTGTTGCACTAATAAGATTTATTCTATGTCCATGTATACCTATATACTTTAAGAATGGAATACTTGCTACATGTATATCATGGTACAGGTGTAGAACTGGTTGAAGCTGATCAGCTAGGAACAGATGCAGCAGATTCTGAGAGGGAAGAATCTGAGATGGAAGAAGATATGAAGGAACATCAGGAAAGCTTAGAAGATGCAGGAATGAACAAGAAGCAGAGACAGACAGAAGAGGAGAGTAATGATGAGGATAACGAAGATGATGAAGGTGATGACAAGGATGAAGACTGGGTGCCTCCGAGAGATTGGAAAAACACAAGGCAACAGGAATGTGATCGACCAAATGTAGAAAAGGAAAACAAGAAGGAAGAAGAACATGAAAAAAAAGAAGAAGAGGAAGATGACAACAAAGGAGAAGAGGAGGAGGAAGAAGAAGGAGAAGAACCTCAAGAAGAAGAGAAGGAACCAGATAGTGTTATCAGTAATGACAATGATGTTCACAACTTAGTACTAGGGCCAGTGAATATTGAGCATGAAAAAAATACAGAGAATGAAAAGCACAAATCTAAGGATGAGAAGTTGCATCCTGTAGAAACTGTGGAAACAAGTAAATCTTTAGACGAAGGAGAAACACAAGAATTGGATCCAAAAAATGGCATTGATGCTCCTGTAGAGCTGTTTACTTCTGATGGCGGTTCAAAAGAAGCGGATGTGAAACAAAGTGGTAGACAAAAATCAGCTTCCAGCATCAGGAAAAAGGGTAAATTATGTTTAGAGTTTATTATTTGTATTTGGTACTCTCTTTGATTTTTTAAAAGCATCCACCTGTAGGCCTACATTCATTTGCTTAAGCATTTGTAGCTTTCACTATTGTAAAGCATGTCATTAAAGTGATTTTTTGCAAACCAGGAAATACAGTTTACAAACTGATATGTATCTGTTTAAAAACTTGTTTACTAAGCATAATTTGTATGGTTATCCAGGCCTTAAATTTCGTCATTTTTAGGGCAAGGCCAGTTTGGCCTTAAAGTACCTCATATTTTTAAGGGCACCAAGGCCATTACAAAGGGCACCAAGGCCAAAATATTTTTTACAAAAAGGGCATCAAGGCCAAAAAAAAAATTGATTCTATTTTTGTTAGATGTCATGTGTATTTTATAATGAAACTTGTGCGGGATCAATTTCCCATGACTTTTAGCACCAGCTTCTTCACAGAATGTCTACGGTACATACAAACAACGGCGGTAGCCCCGCAAGCCTTAGATTAAGCAGCCAGGAGTAAGGGGCAATTTTTTTTTCTAAAGTTGCCCCTTGCCCACGGAAATTTACCAGAGCAAGGGGCAATTCCCTAAGAACCAGGGGCAATTTTCCAAAAACAGATACACTAGGCCCCTAATCTAAATATAAGTTCAAAGATACAATGTTAATTTCATAATGTGAATAGAACGATCAATTTAATAACTTTTTAATCCTAACAATATCAACAGGAAAGATTGATTAAGAACATCAAACTTGCATATTTTAAAGTAACCAAAAATATTGATGAGCAAATGAATAAATAAATTGTAAATTTCACAAACATCGAAAGTCAGAAGGACTTGGCAAGTTTACCGGGTATCCCAAATCGAAATCGCATCTCACACACAAACCTTCCGCCACACTCTCGGTAACTGGTAGTAGGAGAAAATTTGAAGAAATTATCTTTTTAATTGTTGTATAACCAACCCAGGGAAAAAATTAAGTTTTTCATTTCGGGGGCTCCATTTCAAATTTTTGGGAAATTTTCGGGGGCTACTTTTTCAAATTTTGGGGGCTTTTTTTTCCATTTCGGGGGCTACTTTTTCATTAATTCTTAAAAGGACAGGCCTAGGGAGTCTACAGTTTGTTGAGATTTGTTTAGTAGGCTAAGGTTTCGGGCTTCCTGCTTCATAATTGCCTATTAAAAAAGAAACCCCTTTTTCTAGTTCAATTAACTAAGTTTTCATGCATTGATTTGATGCAAGAACTGTGACATAATAGACCTCTAGCTTGTGATTATTTCTGGCCATGAATTTCGATAATCATTTTTCAAAGTAAAGTTTTTCCAAGAAAATCAGACAGTCGTTTAAAAACTTAGACATTAGTAATACTTTTACTAATTCTAAGCTCAGGTTTCGTACATCTATTCACGAAACTACATGTATATTGAAATCGCGGCAATAATGATACAAACCAACAGATAGCAATTTCAAAGTGTCAAAACTCTTTGACTCAGCTCAACTCACACACTGCACAGCGCGCAGCGTGACTCCAGGAAGGTCCAACACCGGCCGCCGCAGCCGTCCGCCTGCGGTGCTTGTGTTGGAGCCTCCTGGAGTTAACTGCCGCGCAGCGTCCGTCATGGTGATTTTGTCTGATTTTCTTTACTTTAAAGAAATGATTATCAAAATTACGTAAACATGGCGATGTTGGAAAATAATCACAAAATAGGCTTTAAGTTCATACCTCTATTCATGGAAACTTTATAAAATTGCGGCAATCATGATGGAAAGATTTCAGTTTCGCGATTAGAGGTCTAGGTTCAGCTAATATGATCCACCAAAACAAAATCGACCGCGAAAAACTCGATCCCTACTCGATCTCGCAACTGCGAAAACGTACGTGTTTTGGCATACTTGCGTGCGACATGGTAAGCCAGGTAAGGTCTGGAATATGGTTCGATTTTTTTTTACGACCGATTTTTTTGTGTATACAATTTTACACGGAGATTCAGCAAAACGAAGCTAGTAGAGAGCTCATGGGCAGCAAACTGTTCGTGATTCGTGCTGTTCTAATAATTTATGGGCGCATTTTCACGGAAAACACTTGCGCCTTGCCGTCTAGTTTTAGATGATTATGGGCGCAATTGGTGGTTTTATGAGCGCAAATTTCTAAAAAGGGGCACGTCCAGTTGGAAAAAAAGGCACGTCGGCCAGTTTGAAAAAAAAGGGCACGGCCTTTTTGGCCGTGAATTTATCTTTAATTGGGAGAGCACCACGGCCAGTCGATGGCCGTCGATTATTTTAAGGCCTGATGTGGGTTCACGACACCCTTTTACCACCAGCTGATATAAGATTACACCTGTGTGTAGGGGGGGGGGGTGGTGTCTTATTTGAGAAGAGTGCAGAGAGCTGTGTGATGTGGGTTCACGACACCCTTTTACCACCAGCTGATACAAGATAACTCCTGTGTGGGGGGGGGGGGGATCGTCATGTTTGAGAAGAGTGCAGAGAGCTGTGTGATGTGGGTGCATGTTCACCCTTTTACCACCAGCTGATATAAGATTACACCTGTGTGTACGGTGGGAAGGTTGTCACATTTGAGATGAGTGCATAGAGCTGTGTGATGTGGGTTCACCACACCCTTTTACCACCAGCTGATATATGTTTACACCTGTGTGTAGGGGGGGGGGGGGGGGGTGGTGTCTTATTTGAGAAGAGTGCAGAGAGCTGTGTGATGTGGGTGCATGTACACCCTTTTACCACCAGGTGAAATATAATTACATTTGTGTGTAAGGGGGGGGGGGGGGTTGTCATGTTTGAGGTGAGTGCAGAGAGCTGTGTGATGTGGGTTCACCACACCCTTTTACCACCAGCTGAAATATGATTACATTTGTGTGTAAGGGGGGGGGGGTGTCATATTTGAGATGAGTGCAGAAGGCTGTGTGATGTGGGTTCATGACACCCTTTTACCACCAACTGATACATGATTACTCTTGTGTGTAGGGGGGAGGATTGTCATATTTGAAAAGAGTGCAGAGAGCTGTGTGATGTGGGTTCACGACACCCTTTTACCACCAGCTGATACAAGGTTACTCCTGTGTGTAGGGGGGGGGGGGGATCGTCATGTTTGAAAAGAGTGCAGAGAGCTGTGTGATGTGGGTGCATGTACACCCTTTTACCACCAGCTGATATAAGATTACACCTGTGTGTTCGGTGGGAAGGTTGTCACATTTGAGATGAGTGCATAGAGCTGTGTGATGTGGGTTCACCACACCCTTTTACCACCAGCTGAAATATGATTACATTTGTGTTTAGGGGGGAGGATTGTCATATTTGAGAAGAGTGCAGAGAGCTGTGTGATGTGAGTTCACCACAACCTTCTACCACCAGCTGTTACATGATTACTCTTGTGTGTAGTGGGGAGGATTGTCATATTTGAGAAGAGTGCAGAGAGCTGTGTGATGTGGGTTCACCACACCCTTTTACCACCAGCTGAAATATAATTACATTTGTGTGTAAAGGGGGGGGGGGGGGTTGTCATGTTTGAGATGAGTGCAGAGAGCTGTTTGATGTGGGTTCAGCACACCCTTTTACCACCAGCTGAAATATGATTACATTTGTGTGTAAGGGGGGGGGGGTGTCATATTTGAGATGAGTGCAGAAGGCTGTGTGATGTGGGTTCACGACACCCTTTTACCACCAGCTGATACATGATTACTCTTGTGTGTAGGGGGGAGGATTGTCATATTTGAGAAGAGTGCAGAGAGCTGTGTGATGTGGGTTCACGACACCCTTTTACCACCAGCTGATACAAGGTTACTCCTGTGTGTAGGGGGGGGGGGGGATCATCATGTTTGAGAAGAGTGCAGAGAGCTGTGTGATGTGGGTGCATGTACACCCTTTTACCACCAGCTGATATAAGATTACACTTGTGTGTACGGTGGGAAGGTTGTCACATTTGAGATGAGTGCATAGAGCTGTGTGATGTGGGTTCACCACACCCTTTGCCACCAGCTGAAATATGATTACATTTGTGTGTAAGGGGGGGGGGGGGGTTGTCATGTTTGAGATGAGTGCAGAGAGCTGTGTGATGTGGGTTCACGACACCCTTTTACCACCAGCTGATACATGATTACTCTTGTGTGTAGGGGGGAGGATTGTCATATTTGAGAAGAGTGCAGAGAGCTGTGTGATGTGGGTTCATGACACCCTTTTACCACCAGCTGATACAAAATTACTCCTGTGTGTAGGGGGGGGGGGGATCGTCATGTTTGAGAAGAGTGCAGAGAGCTGTGTGATGTGGGTGCATGTACACCCTGTTACCACCAGCTGATATAAGATTACACCTGTGTGTAGGGGGGGGGGGGGGGGTAGTGTCTTATTTGAGAAGAGAGCTGTGTGATGTGGGTTCACGACACCCTTTTACCACCAGCTGATACAAGATTACTCCTGTGTGTAGGGGGGGGGGGGGGGGATCGTCATGTTTGAGAAGAGTGCAGAGAGCTGTGTGATGTGGGTGCATGTTCACCCTTTTACCACCAGCTGATATAAGATTAACCTGTGTGTACGGTGGGAAGGTTGTCACATTTGAGATGAGTGCATAGAGCTGTGTGATGTGGGTTCACCACCCCTTTTACCACCAGCTGAAATATAATTACATTAGTGTGTAAGGGGGGGGGGGGTTGTCATGTTTGAGATGAGTGCAGAGAGCTGTGTGATGTGGGTGCATGTTCACCCTTTTACCACCAGCTGATATATGTTTACACCTGTGTGTAGGGGGGGGGGGGGGTGGTGGTGTCTTATTTGAGAAGAGTGCAGAGAGCTGTGTGATGTGGGTGCATGTACACCCTTTTACCACCAGCTGAAATATAATTACATTAGTGTGTAAGGGGGGGGGGGTTGTCATGTTTGAGATGAGTGCAGAGAGCTGTGTGATGTGGGTTCACCATCCCCTTTTACCACCAGCTGAAATATGATTACATTTGTGTGTAAGGGGGGGGGGGTGTCATATTTAAGATGA